AGGAAGCCACCTACAGACACCCTGGTAGCTCCACGGTAGGGACCTCTGATTCTCTCAGTCAACAACCAGAGGACTTTGTCTACTGTGTGCTTCCTCAGCTGACCTGGGGTGCTGGCAAGGCCCATCCCAGGCCATCTTCTTCTGATCAGCCTAGCCATCTGACCTAGCACCCCCGGGCAACCTCTCTGCCTGGCTTGAAGGGTGCCGCCCTGCCTCACCTGTCAGTGACCTGCCGAGTCTTTTTCCTGTAGCATATAAGAGCTGGCATCGGCCCGGAGTGTTTTTAATCTTTTATCATCTGATTGATTTTCATCATCTATGAGAGAACGGAAGCCACTAATTTACATAGCGCCAGGGGCCCGGTAAGAGGAAAATTGGTGCTAAATGACCTCGCCTTCCCATGTCTGGTGTGAGGAATCATCGCAAAACACACCAGACCTTTAACAATGGCGTGACTGACAGGATTTGGAATCTTCTCTTAGGGATGGGGTGTTCTTCCTGCCCTTGCTTCTTGACTGTGAGCCACCCTGGTAGATGAATGAATTCACTCCCCCAAATGTTCACCATGTGCTGGTGGCTGGATTGGTTCTGCCATCATGGAGGTGGGGGCCAACCAGTGATTGACAAATGAGTGGCGAGGACTTGAATGAGCACTGTGAGGGGCCCCTGCAGGGGGCTTCTGGCAGTGCTCAGAGGAGACAAGCTAGCAGCCTTTATTAATCCACCAGGCAGTGTGTCGCATTGATAAAAATAGCCTGGTAGCACAGGATGTAAAATGAGGTCTCTTCTTCCCTTCCAGGTCTGTCTCCAAGAGGCACCATCGTTAACCCTGTCTTACTTCTTTGTCTTTAGTTCATCAACTTTAGCCCATATCTGCTGTGAAAAAGGAAGACTGGAGTATGTGCAGGGCACCTGCCTCTCCCTCCTGTTTTTGTTAGTTACGTTATTTAGAATATAAACACTTGGCTCTGAAACTGCAATGAGATCTTTTACTCTTGCTTCTGGTCAGTGCTAAAATACTGGTAAAAATAACTTTACACTGTAAATGATTCTGTGAGTTTCCTCTGGAATCAAGGATCAGGCCCACAGAAGGGGAATTGTAACCCAAATGCTGTTGCCCAGAGAAGACTTCCCATGTACAGTTGAGCCCCCGTATCCCTTCCCCAACTTCCTTCACCTCCTAAACCTCTAGGGTCACCTTGGCCACATGTCTTCCTGCTGTGTTGTGGAAACACTTCTAGTAACGTGTTCCACCTGGAGCATGTGGGAAGTCACCCTGGAGTTTGTGCATGTCTGAAACACGAGTCTGGGGTGCCCAGTTTTAGGTCCGTGTGGCAGGGTGTAGAATTCCTAGTAGGCACCTTGAAGACTCTGCTCCCGATGCCCGTGCTCAATGTCACCATGAGACACCCGCCTGGCTGGACCCTTTCTTTGCAGATGGGACTGGCTCCCGGTCCCAGGATTCTGAAATTTCACTGGAACAGGTCTGGAGGTGGGTCATTTTCCCTTTACTCTGACTTGGCGACAGCAGGCCCTTTTATTCTAAATTGTCCTCCTTCCAGCTCAGGGAAATACTATTCTGCTGAGTATGCTTCGTGATGTCTGTTCTTAGAACTCTTTTTCACATGGTTGTTTGACTTCCAGGCAGTTCTTTCATGTAGCTTAATGTTTCTCTGTTTTCTTCTGCATCTCTCATTTGCTCTTTAAATGTTTTCACGTTTTGTTTTTTTTTTACATTTGAAAAATTGAAGTGTAATTTTCATGTCACGAAACCCACAGGACTTACGTATGCAAGTTGAGGAGCTCTGACAGATACACACACAGGTGGAACATTCCACCTGTGGAACAGAACGTGGAACGTTCCCCTGGCTACTCCTGCTCCAGATCTCTCAACTTCACTTCTGCCCCTCCCAGAGGCAATCGCTGTTCTAACTGCATCCTGCATGTATTAGTTCTATCTTTCCCAGAGTTTCCCATGAAGAAAGGGCCACATGGACATACTTTGTGTTGGTCTTCTTTTGTTCATTGTGATGCTATTGGCACCCACCTGTGGTGCTAAGACTCAGGAATGTGTTCTTATGTGGATGGGTGGGCCATGGCTGGGTTTCTATGCTCCTGGCCATAGCTGGTTCAGCTGGTTCCAGGAGGGCTGGGATGAGTGGAGCTGCCACGAAAATCCATGTTTCTGTCTTTTGTGGATTTACATTTTCCTTCCTTGCCAGTGGATCCCAGGAGAGTAGTGACTGGTCTCAGAGCTGGTGTGAACCCCCCCCAGGGACTTCTCTGAGGGTTGTGCCATCTCAACTCCCAGCAGCACTGTGTGATTGGGGTCAGTTGGATGATCAGTCTTTTTAAGTTACCCCTTCTGGAGGGCGTGAGTATCTCAGTGTGGTTGGTTTTTCTGTGTTTTGTGTGTTTTTTTGTGTCAGGGCTTCAGTCTGTTGCACAAGCTGGAGTGCAGTGGCATAATCACAGTTCACCACAGACTTGACCTGCTGGGCTCAGGCAATCCTACCCTCTTGGCCTCCTGAATAACTGGGACTATAGGCATGCACCACCAGGCCTGGCTGCATTGTTTGTAGAGATGAGGTCCTGCTATGTTGCCCAGGCTGGTCTTGAACTCTTGGACTCAAGTGATCCTCTTGCCTTGGTCTTCAGCGATCCTCTTGCCTTGGTCTCCCAAAGTGCTGAAATTACAGGTGTGAACCACTGCACCTGGCCTAGTGTGGTTTCAGTTGGTATTTTCCTAGTGACTACTGATGCTGTACACCTTCACATGTGCTGCTGGCCATTTCTGTACCTCTTTGGTGGAGTATCTGTTCATGCCTTTTAAAATTATTGAGTTACAGAAGTTCTTTATATATTCTGGACCTGAATCCTTTCTTAGATATATATGTATATTGAGAATAATTTTCCCAGTTTATGGCTTGATTTTAATTTTCTTTTAACATGTAATCATTTTTAATTTTTTTTCTTAATTTTTAAGTTGGAGTTCCACTATGTCTCTCAGGCAGGTCTTGAATTCCTGGTCTCAAGCAATCCTCCCCAGATAGCTGTACCATCACACCTGGCTTAAATAATCATTTTGATGCATATACTATGTTCCCATTTTATTATCGGTATTAAACCTTAACTTTTTTGTTCTTAGTATTTCTCTGGATTACAGAATATCTTATTTTTCAAATGTTGAGCTTGTTAGTAAAGCAAGTCCCAGTTTGGTTTGCAAGAGCACTTTGTTGATTGGTCCTTTTTAAATAGAAGCTTGCTCTTTCTTATGTGTGTCAACTTCTTGGGTCTTGATGGGAACATTAATTAGGTTTTTTTTCAAGTTGCCCTTGGTCCTGGAACTGTTTTTCTTGGCTGGCCATGGCAATGGTTTCTCAGGGTGTGGTTTGACCCCATTGGTGATGGGTCCCTCACAGGTCTGTGTTGTGGGAGGGGCCTGGCAGGTTGGTGGGAGGGAGAACAGCCCAAAGGTGCAGCCAGCAGTAGGGATAGAACTCCTTAACGAAATGGCGCTTGGGATAATCCTGGGCCCTACTTCTTCTCTCTATTGGAGCCTAGCCTGACATTTTTGGGCCCTTCCTGTAGGATCCAGGAGTCTTGGCTTGCATTTCTTTTCAGTTCTGCTCTTTCACTTCATCTCTCTGAATTTACCTGTTTCCTATCTTCTTGGAATTTCTCAGGGTTCCTCTGCTCTCTGTTCAGTTGTGATTATGGTTTCCTTCTGAACGTATACTTTTTTCTTTTTCTTTCTTTTTTTTTAAACAAAGTTTATTAGAGAAAGAAGTGAGAAAAGAAAGGGAGACATGCCAGAGCTGGCATGGGCAAAAAAACTGCCACATGTTTCTTTTCTGACCTCTATTGGAAGCGGGTAGGAGGGAGGCAGGTGTTGCTTCTAGTTTTCTGGACCAGGAGGTGTCCTGGGGACCCAAGCTCAACTGGAGGTGAGAAGGGTGCATTGCATGAATGGGGTGAGGAGTAGCCTTGGCTAGGCTGGTAGACGTGGGACTTCATCTCAGGGATGAAGTTGACACACAAAACCTTTGGGTCACACGAATTCTTCGGGTTTACTCCAAGTGTTCCATGGTAAGAACCTAAAGGATTTGGGGAAGGGAAGAGCCAGGATCCAGGTGAGCTGCAGGGGAGATATGGCAGGGGATGGGGTGCGTGACGATGGTGAACTTGGATGGGGGGTCAGAGGGTGGCAGATGCTGGAGCAGGTGGAGGCAGGGCAGGGGTGCTGGGGTGCTTGAATCTGAAACATGGTGTTGGTGGTCTCCCATGGGACTGTGGGCAGAGTGGGTGTATGGGGGATGCCTAGCAGTGTGCATCTGTTGGGGGCTCCTGGATGACAATGGTGGTGTTGCTTGCTGGTTCCTGTTTTCAACCTGGAGTCAGTGGTTGGTTCTTCTGGCTGGTGCCAGGCACAGTGGCCCGAGAGTCCAAGAGGAGTCTGCCGTGTCCTTCCTCACCTGAGGGCCCAAGCTGCTAGCTTGTGAATTTGACTCTGCCGTGACTTTTCCTGCAGGGCCCCCAGCTATGTCTTGGGCACCAGCAGCATCTCCCCTAACCTAATCCTCTGGGTCCTGAGCACATTCTCCAAGAGTATAGACATCAGGAGTAAACTGATGTTTCATTCTTCTCATAAACACTTCTCAGAAAGTGAATGATCACTGCAGGAACAGAGGCCTCCGAGGTGCTTTTGTGGAAAAGTGTGCAAGCATGCCACTGTGGACTTGGAGGACCTCTCTGGCTTCCCAGAAGTGTCCTCATGGGGACTGCGTCCAGGGTAGTGGGGGCCAAAGAGCCAGCTGTTGTGGTACAGGTGGCCAAGGGCCCCTCTGTCATAGCTGCTGGGCCTTCTGTGGGTAAAGAAAAGGCCAGTTCTGCCACGTGGCACTGTGGGGACACACTGCCCCTTCTGAGGCTTCAAATCAAACTGCCCGGCGCCCTCCTACTCCCATTTCCTGCCTGCTCAGCATGTTTTTCTCCTCCAGGACCGCAAACTCACCAAGCTGGAGCGGCAGCGGTTCAAGGAGGAGGCTGAGATGCTGAAGGGCTTGCAGCACCCCAACATCGTGCGCTTCTATGACTTTTGGGAATCCAGCGCCAAGGGCAAGCGCTGCATTGTGCTGGTGACCGAGCTGATGACCTCAGGGACGCTGAAGACGTAAGCACCACTGCCCACAGGCCAGGCACATCCTGGTGTGGGCTCAGGGACACCGGAACTGGGGTGACTGAGGTCCTGGGCTGCCAGTTGGTCCTGGCTGGTTCCTGTGGCCTAGCCTCATACCTCTCAGAGGTGTCCACTTCGAGTTATGAGTTTGCATCCTTCTGGCAGTAGACAGTCCCTTCCCCGAGCAAGAAGAAGCATGTCAGAGCAGCCTGGCAGTTCCTCTTACCTTTCTACCCTCTCTGGCCTCCTGAGACAAATGTGTCCCTCAGACACAGCCAGGGGGCGGTCCTTTTTCTCCCCTCCTGTATGTGACATCAGGAAATTACTTGCTTCTTGATGAGATCGTCTCTGTGGTGTCTGGGCCTTACTTATGACTGGGCTTAGTTTCCACCTGGGAGCCAGCCTGGAATGTTCTGGCTGCTCGGGAAGCAGGTTGGGTAGGCATCAAGGGAATGGATGGAGTGCAGACCTGGGGGTAGCAGGGTCCCAAAGATGTAGATACAGTTGGCAGGTGTCAGAGCTGAATGCCATAGCAACCTGTCATTCCTCATCAAGGCTCCGGTCTGGCTGTGGGGAGGAGGCTTCCTTTCTGGGTGTGGCACCCTGAGTCCACCTACATTACTCTGACCCTTTGATGTTGGGCAGGGCCTCCACGTCCTGCTACCGGGCAGTGGATGCATAGCGAGAGGAGAGCCTCTTCCCAGCCTCACCCACCACCTCTTCCCAGGGAGAGGCAGGCAAATGGTGGCAGGGAGGACCCTGGCCTCCTTTCACCCTCACCTAAGACCTACTAACTAGGACTCTGTCTGACTTCCGGTGACTTAAAAGCCAGCATTTCCGGGTGAGATCAGGAGGGAGCATGGCCCTAGCTCTCGTAGCCAGGCCCCACAAGGAGGGTCATGACCCTGGCCTTGCTGCCTGCTCAGGGTCCTGGCTCTGGTGGGTGACCCCTGGCTAGGGCAGCACTGTCCGACTTTCCTGTTTTACCTTCGCTGCCTGTCACAGGTGACTGCTGCGTGCACATGAACAGACTTAGCACCAGGCCTGAGTGGCGTTGGGCAGGGGCTTCAAGAAGGGGCCACTGCCCTCAGGCTGCCCAGTGAGCTGCCCTCTTCCACCCCACAGGTACCTGAAGCGGTTCAAGGTGATGAAACCCAAGGTGCTTCGCAGCTGGTGCCGGCAGATCCTTAAGGGCCTGTTGTTCCTGCACACACGAACGCCGCCCATCATCCATCGAGACCTGAAATGTGACAATATTTTTATCACCGGACCGACCGGATCTGTGAAGATCGGCGACTTGGGCCTTGCCACCCTCAAAAGGGCATCGTTTGCCAAAAGTGTGATAGGTAAGCCTGTTTCTCCTTCCTGGCCTGGGAGCCTGTAGGGGCGGGGCAGGATCAAGGGCCCAGCTAGTGTCCAGTGTTGCTCAGACACCTCTGACCTGGCACAAGAGATACAGCTGGAGGAGTGCATGGGTGCTGGGCCTCGGGCTGGGGTGTCCAAGCTACCCTCCCAGCCTCCAATGGCCCAACCAAGGGACCTGCCCACCTGGGGCACATGTTGCCACTTGAGCTAGGACACGTTGACTCTGGTCCCCCCCACTAGTCCCCCCTTGCCCCTATCCCACACCAGACTCTGCCCCGCCCTGTCTTTGTGTTGACTCTTGGCTGTGGGTGAGACGCTGTCTCTGGCTCTTAGAGGGGAAGGCGGGCCCAGGTGCTGATGCTCACAGTGTGTGTGGGCACTTGGAAAAGAAAGAGGCCCCAACCACAGAGAAACAGGGAGGCTTGTGGCCAGTGACGCTGGGGCTTTTTTCAGCGGGCAGGAGGGAGTGACAGGCTGTGGGTCCAAGTAAGTGACACTTGAGAGTCTGGGGAGCACCTGTCCCTGTGGGGAGGACACAGGGTGGGCGTTGTGTGCAGGGTGGGATCTGCTGTATGGAGACAAAGGGTTTGCAGCATGCCTTGTATCCAGCCCCAGGCATGCTGGCACAGCAGGTGCTAAGTGTCTACCCGCCCGTGGTGGGGACCTCATGGGCTTTAAAGAGAGCACAGGAGCCGCAGAGCAACTGTTTCTAGGGTGAGATGGGGGCCGGTGGTGCAAGTCAAGGCTCAGGAGGCCAGATGGGGTGGGATGGATCCAACAAGGACCCCATGTTGAGGCCCAGTGCACCCCCAATAGGAGGGCTGGTTCCCCACAAGCAGGACAGGGAGTGCTTGATCTTGGCTTTGTGGATTCATGGTTTTGCTGCTTGTCTGGGGCAGAACTGAACCTCTTTGTTGAAAATGAAACCCAGGAACTGCTTTGGTAGTGTTTTTAGGATCTGGGCAGGGTGGCTTCCCAGGAGTGGCCATTTACACACAAGGCCTCCGGGAGCAGGGCCCAACCCAGGCCTCGGTTGTCCCATCTGTAAAATGGGTGAGGCAACCAGGGATCTGCACTTCATGCCGAGAGCAGGGTCCAGGACCGTGGAGAGCCCATATGCCAGGCCCTGAGCTCCATGCAGTTTCCGGGCAGGTTTTGCAGATTTGACCTCAGAAGTGGTGGGAGTCCTGGTCTCAAATTTCGGGTGCAACCAGGTGCTGGGAGGGATGCTAGGGGCCCTCCTGCCTCAGAAGGAAGTATTCAGGGTAAGGCATAGTATTCTGTGGAGAAGCTGGACCTCCCGTAGAACCAGGCTTCTCTGGCTGGCTGGCCCTTGGCTCTCTTGGAAATGAAGCTTTGAGTTGCCAGGTTGAGATAAAGGCTGCTGCTTCCAGCAGGGACAGTGGGGCCCTGCACCTGGCATGGGTGCTGACTCTGTCGGGGTCTCTCATTGCCCCAGCTTTTGCTCAGTTGGAGCCCAGGAACCTGCAGATAGAGAGGCTGTGGCCAGGAGTGTCCTCGGCCGCCCATGCTCATAGAAGAGGAGACTTAACCGTCTCGATGCCCTGGGCAGTGAGGTTCATCCTCAGCAGGAGTTAGCAGCTCAGTGGGGTCTGAGGCTATGTGGGGAGCCCTCCCCATGCCTGTTCCCCAGGCAGCCCTGTGGGCAGTGTTGGCTCAGGCTGCCTCTGGGTGCTTGCCCTGGTGGGAAATAGGCCCAGTGCTCCTGGGGTCTGCATCCTCCTGGGGTTCACAGTGCACAGCCTGCCCCTCCTGGTGCCCTAGGGTGTAGTTAGTGCCATGGTCCCATTTCTGCATGGCCATCATAGTATCCTTTTGCAGTACTTGGATTGTACTTCAGATGTGGTCACTGTGAGGGGTCTGGCTCAGCAGCCAGTCTCCCAGGCTGCTCTGGGAGGGGGTGGACTAACTGGGGAGACAGGGTCTGAGGGTCCTAATTTTTACCTCTGGGTCTGTTCTTGATGCTGCTTGCTTACACAGGTGTGAGAAAACACACACACACACACACACACACACACACACACACACACACACACACACACACACACACATACACACACGTGTTAGTTTTTAAATTCAGATTTAAATGACTACAGTATGAGGGAACGAGTCGAGGGCACCAATGTCCAAGCACCAATTTGCAAGTATGTGTATAGAAGGTATCAAGAGTCCCTCTGTCCCACCTGAGCTGCCCCACCCACGACCCACCCTCCAGGGCCAGGCCATTCGAGACCTTGTGTTTCCTGCAGAGCAGGGTTCTCAGCTCCTGAGGATCTCAGAAGTGCCAGAGCCTGGGGACATTAGCAGCTGGGTTAGTGGGGTCCCCACAGGTGCCAGGGAGAGGATAGCTCAGCTTCCAGCTTCCTGCCCAGCAACCCTGGGCACCAGGATCCCTTCAAGCTCCTCCCTGTGGATGGATGTAGCTGGGCTTCAGGTCTGGGATGTGCCCCTAAAGCCCTTGGTTGGCTCCTCCTGCCAGGAAGGGGCTTTACAGGTTCCCTCTCAGCTGTTGCAAGGGCAAGCCACCTACACAGTCACAAGGCTTGGGCAGTGTGGGGGTCATTGTAGACAGCTGAGGTAGCTCAGGGAGTGGGCATGTCTCTCCTGCCGTTCAAGGCTCCCTGTGTGGTCAGCTTGAGTGCCTGCCACCACCTGGAAGGGCCCTCATTAGTGGCTGTGCTGGGTCCAGGCCATGGGGCAGGCAGTGAGATCCCCAAGGAGGCTGCCAGGGGACCTGAGACATGGACACATTGTGGGGAGGGCCTAGAACAGGTGTTCATTTGTCACCACGCCATGTTCCAAGCCACAGCTCTGGCTGCTTCTGCCTGTGGCCTCAACTTGGGTTTCTGTGGTATGTTTGCTTCCTGCCCCATCTGAGCAGCTCATTCACTATTCAGGACAAGCTTAGGGGTGGAAAGGGACATTAAAACACTAGCTTCGAAATGACCAGAGCAGCAGATTCTCAATGTAACATGTGGTTCAAAAACCCAAAAGGATAAAAATTCCAGTGCAAGGCCAGGTGCTGTGTGGCACATGCCCGTAATCCCATCACTTCAGGAGGCCGACGCAAGAGGATCACTTGAACCTAGGAGTTTGAGACCAGTCTGGACAACATAACGAGACTTCATCTCTATAAAAAACGAAAAAATTAGTCAGGTTTGATGGCCTGCTCCTATAGTCCCAGCTACTGGTGAGGCTGATGCAGGAGAATAGCTTGAGCCCAAGAATTGGAGGCTGCGATGAGCCGTGTTTGTGCTACTACACTCCAGCTTGGGCAACAGAGTGAGACCCTGACTCAAAATAAAATTAAATTAAATTAAAAATTCCAGTGCAAGATCCCTCTGACTCCACTCAGTTCCCTTTGTTTCTCATGGATTCTTCCAGAGCTCTGTGTGCACATTCTTAAATCTAAACATGCATTCCTGTTTTCCCCATTTTAATCCAAAATGTTAACTCTAAAAAAAAATGAAATGCAAGTTAAATCAAAGTGATGGGTAAATAAAGTTTCAACGTTCTTTTTGGTGTAATTAGTTTGCATCTGCTTCTTAAAAGAAACTAGAACGTTTTGAAAATCTTCCCAAGTCAACAAATATTCAGAAGGGAGGAGCACCCGTGTTGGAGTCTCTGGTCCCTTCTCTTTGCATTCAGCTCGACAGATGCTCAGTTGGACTGGACCTGTTTTAATAATAAGGCTTTCACCATTGCTATATTAGTAAAGGAAAAGCTTACAATAGGAAATTTAGAAACCCCAGACCAATGCAAGTAAAAGAAAAGCCAGCCATCTCTCCACCTCCTCTCCAGCATCACCTTGCCCTGTGTCTCATTTTGCAGAGTTGAGGCCAGTGTACCACATCCTTAGACATTCGGCACATTGTTTCATATCTTTGGTGTTTAGCACAGCAAGAGTAATTCCCATATGAACAATGCTGTGGTGTTGTCAGGGGCTGTCATTTGCTCCTGTACTGCCTTCAGTGCCATGGATAGTTGTCTGTGCTACATGGCAATGTCATGGGGGTTTACCCAGTGAACCTAGCCATTTTCCTGTCTGGGGACATTTGGGGCTTTTCTGAGTTATTGCAGCTATAAGTAGTTTGGTGATGACCACTGAGTTTTTGTCAGCTCCAGAGTATCTGAGCCTAATCATGCCCAGCCTGTTGTCAGGAGCACAGGGTCCCCAGAGAGGGTATGCTCAGGGTCCTGCCTTCTGTGTCCCCTAGGATGTCAGAGTCTCCCGGCTCTGTGGGCAGTAAATGGAACCATGGTGTTCCTGGTGGAAGCTTTAGATCCTTGTCTGAAGAGCACACCTGTTTCCTGGACATGAGGCAAAGCTGGGCCTGGAGACCCGTCCTTCTGAGGGTGCCATGGGAGAGCGAAAGGGGAACAAGGCTTCAGCAGCCAAGACCATCTGGAGCACTGACTCCTAGTGCCCTCAGTGTTCCCAGGCCCGTAGCCAGCTGACCAATGTGTGTGTGTGTGTTGCTCACTGGCACAGGTACCCCTGAGTTCATGGCGCCTGAAATGTACGAGGAGCACTACGATGAGTCCGTCGATGTCTATGCCTTCGGGATGTGCATGCTGGAGATGGCCACCTCAGAGTACCCCTACTCGGAGTGCCAGAACGCCGCACAGATCTACCGGAAGGTCACCTGTGTGAGTCCAACCAGTCATTTATTAATGGGATGCAGAGCTGGTTTGTGGGCCACCCCCTTGATGGAGCTCTGTGTGCCTTTGCAAAGTCCTCATGGCAGCTATGTAAGGAAGGAGTCAGGACATTTTACAGATGGGGACACTGAAGCTCAGTGAAAGGTAGTCTCTCTAGGAGTAGCGGAAGTGAAGGTGATGCATGGGGTACCAGGTGCACTGCTTAGCCACAAAGACTGTTGCTCACATGGCTGGAATGGTGGGGAAACTAAGGACCAGAGAAACTGCAGCTCCCCCAAGGCCCCCCACCAGGAGGTGTTCCTGGGCTGCCTGTCCCCAGAGCCCCCACTCCAGGCCACCTTGGGGCTACTGGCTTTCCCATCTTTATTTTGAAACAATGGTTTGATTTCTTTTTTCAGCCAAACTAGTCACCCCTAGACCAAGCGTGTCTCTAGGCAGTTGTCAGCGCCGGGCAGCTGGGCGCGTTAATCCCTGTTTTGCTGTCACTGTGATTTTTCATTTAATCGGACGGCTTCAGCTGTATAAACAGATCGGTCTTGTCCTCCCTCTGTGGCGAGCCCTCCAGGTGGAGGGAACACAAACAGAACATCCGGAGGCGGAGGGACCACGTTCTCTGTGCCATTTCCCCCACTGCCTGCCGTCTGCTCTCACATTAGGGCTCAGGTAGCCTGCAGGGCTGGGATCCTGAGTCCTCACCATCTCTGCCTCCACTTGGGTTTCATGCTCAGCCTGGGCATCACACAGCAATGATGGGGCAGTTCTGCTGGGGGCAGCTGCACAGCTCTGTGAATACTTCTGAAGGTGACAAGGGTTCTCGGCTGCCCTGGCAGCTCCATCGGCCCACCTCTCTGCCTTGAGCCCTCCTGGCTGATTGCACATGACTCTCTTTTTGGTGGTTTTAAATCATTCATCACTTGGCCTGAGCCCCTCCTGTGTGCCTGAGGACATGGAAGGGCAGCAAGAGTCCTTGATGGATGGTGCTTGTGGACCCTACAGATAGGGTGCTGGAAGGAGGGGCGACCCTCCAGATATGGGCAGCAGCCCTCCAAGAAGGTGAGGGTGGTCTTGGCAGGAGGAGGTTGTGGGCTCCAGCGATCTAGGACTCCATTTGCCAGGCTTCAGGGGTCTAGCAGGGGAGGCCCCTGGGTTCCTGGGCAAGGCAGACAGTGGTATATCTTGGAGCCGTGCATGGCACAGGGGTTGTTTGTGGTCCTCACTCCTGGCAGGTGGAAGCCTGCCAGGCAGGGTCTCTCAGGTTCTTCCCTTGGTGTCTGCCCCAGGCTCTGGTCTTAAGCAGTCACGGCATGCCACTCTCCCGCCCCTTTGAAAAAAAGCATGCCTTGTGTTCTCTACATTTAAAAAAAGCCAGGTGAAGCACTCAAAGGCCAAACCTTGTTGCTGGAGAAAGACTGTGATGGCTGTGATAGTTGATGCCCTTAGTGTGTTTGAAAAATGTTTAATTAGTTGCCCACGGCTCCCCAACCCCCTTCAAAAAAAGTCCCAGTAGATCTCAAGTAAAATCTTCTCACTCCTGCTTCTGAAATTCCGTGTCTGGCTGGGCTGCCCTCCATACTGCCTCCACACATGGCCATCGCCTGCCCAGGGAGTGGCCACCCCTCAGCCTGACACCTGCCCTGTCCCCCAAAGCTGCATGACCTAGCCAGCAGCAGTGACTACAAGTAGAGTAGCACTTTTGTACCCTGGAGAGGAAGGAAAGGGAGGAGAGCAGAGGGGAGGGGAAGGCCCAAGTGTGGTTAGAAAGGCCAACTCTGTGGGAAGCATCCTGTCCACCTCGTCACTGCAGCTCCTCCTCCAGCCTCCTGGCACAAGAGGGCCCCACTTAGGAGTCTACTGCCAAGTTCTGATCAACACCTTTCCAGAAACTGACTGCTATATTTGAGGTGTTAACCCCAGTATCACATTCTGCAGCTTAGGTGGAGGCTGTGAGGTGTGTTGTTGCCAGGGTGATGGGCATTTCCACAGATGTCGGGTAACCTGAACCTAAGTGGTAGTATCCAGGCTATGGATTCAGGCAGCAGAGAAGGGAGGCCTGAAAGGGGACCCCAGTGGCTCCACACACCTCACCAAATCATTCCCTGCTCTGCCTTTGTCTTACCCAGGGCTCGAGCCTACTGCTTCTGTGGGTGTGTAGTTTTCATCAGAGCTGGAAACTCTTCCTCCAACATGTCTTCAAGTATTATTTCTACCCCTACTCATGCTTCCAGCCTGTCTTCCTTGAACTCCAGTTGTATGTGTGTCCTGTCCTGTTTGGCCCTCGTTCATATCTCAAATCCTGAAATGAATGGGACCGGAGTCTCAGTGGCCATCTTCCTGTGCTTCGTATCCGGTTGATCCCATTGTCTTCAAGGTCACTCGTCTTTTTCTGCAGTGTCTAATCTGCTGTCCATCTGCTGCAGTGAAACTTTCCATTCAAATGTTGTGCTTTTCCCCTTTTGTTCCATCCGGTTCTTTTTTTATATCCGTCATTTCTGTTCCTCATTATGTTCATCTTCCTTTAAATACTCATATGTGACTGTGATGAGATTTAACCTTGTCGTCTGTGAGTTTGGCAACTCTCTCAGTTCCAGGTCCCTTTTGCTGACTGGTTTTTCTGTGTTGTCATGGGCCCCATTTTCCTGCCTCTGGTCATTCTTGATTGGATGCTACATGTGGTACATGTATGTACATGATGTCCTGACCCGTGTGAGCTCTGGGAATTGTCCTGCCTGCAGCTCCTGTTGTTCTCTGTGGCGTTGACTGTGCATACATGGATTAGTCCTTGGCAGGAACTCTAGGGGAACCCATGGACAGACACTTGGGACTCTTTTTTTCCACCTTGTTGCCTTCTTTCTGAACTCTGCCTGTGGCCTCCTCACCTCCCTGAATTCTGTGCACATTTCTCTGCTTGTGGGACTGCAGGGCTTTGCTAGGCTCCTGTGCCTTCTCTGGGGACTGCTCTGGGCAGTGAGCTGGGGCTGTGGAGGCTGCGTGTCCCTTTCTCTCAAAGGCCACATCTGGCACTGCCTCGTTATCCAGCGAATGAACATGGCCTTTCACCCAGGTTTTCTGTTTGTTTGTTTTTGCGTTGCAGTCTCACTCCTTCTCGCATGCTGGAGTACAGTGGCATGCACGCTCACGGCTACCCCAGTGTCAACCTACTGGGCTCCGGCAATTCTTCTGCCTCAGCCTTCTGAGTAGCTGGAACTATAGACACTCGCTACCATGCCCGGCTATTTTTTATTTTATTGTAGAGATGAGGTCTCACCAAGTTGCTCGGGATGGTCTCAAACCCGCGGGCTCAGGCAATCCACTAGCCTCGGCCTCCCAAAGTGCTGGATTACAGGCTAAGCCACCGAGCCCGGCCTTCACCCAAGTTTTTTGTTGTTGTTTTTGAGCTAGAGTCACGCTCACCCAGACTAGAGTACAGTGGTATGCTCACAGCTCACCATAGCCTTGAACTCCTGGATTCCGGTAATCCTTCTGCTTCAGCCTCCCAAGTAGCTGGGACTATGCCACCACACCTAGCTATTTTTTAAAATTTTTTGTAGAGATAGGGTCTTGCTATGTTACCCAGACTGGTCTCCAACTCCTGGGCTCAAGCAGTCCTCCCACCTCAACCTCCCAAAGTTCTGGGATTACAGGCATGAGCCACCACACCTGGCCTTGTTCAGCTTTCTGACAGTCTGTGGAGGTGAAGTAGCACCTGTGTCCTGTCCTAGCTGAAGGGAGAGCTCCTCCCACTGAGGGGAGATGCACCTTTGAGCAACCAATCAGGATGAGGTGACTCCATTCTCTAATCCTCAGGGTATCAAGCCGGCCAGCTTTGAGAAAGTCCATGATCCTGAAATCAAGGAGATTATTGGGGAGTGTATCTGCAAAAACAAGGAGGAAAGGTGAGTTCCTTCAAGGGATTGGACTCTGCATCTTCTCCAGCTGAGACCCTTCCAGCTGCTGTTGGGGACTGTTCCTGATGAGAGAACATCAGGGGCAGGTGGGCTCTGGCCAGAGTTCTGGATGTGTTAGCGGGGGCCAGCAGGCATGCTGGTGCAGGATGCACATGGGTGGCACCAGGCTAGAAAGTCAGTCCCCTGCGTCCTTCTCTGCCATCTGGGAACATGCTCCCTGACTGTGGGGACTGACCCCCACCCCACTGGCTGTTGGGGCTCCTCCTGCCTCTCCTAGCTTTCCCTATGTGTGGTCCTTGCAGAGAACATCTCCGTGCCTGGGCTCTGGGTGCATCCAATCTGCCCTCCCTTCAGTCCCACCCTCCCTGGCTGTATATTTTATATACTGACTGGTCCACCCATCTCAAATTGGTGTGCCTGAACCAGTCTGCAAAGCCAGCCCATCCCCCACAACCCTCAGAGCAGAGTCTATCCTTCCCAGCTGGTCAACCTCAAAGCTAAGCATGCTTTCTCAGCCTTTCCTCCCCGCAAATAAACTGGGGTACACCCACCACTTGACACGACATCCCTCAGCAGCATGCAGGGATGGAGTGTTGATCCCATAGCTACATGGTGGCTCTGTGGGTATACCCAGGAGACGCCAACTCCAGACAGGGCAGTGCTGTGTGGTTCCATTTATACTAGGATGAAGCTAGCCTTACTGGTAGGGACACTTGCCTGGGTGACAGAGCCACATAGAACCTGGAGGTGATCACTGTGGCAATACCCAGCAGCCAGACAGCCTGGTTCCCTGCACAGAGCCCTCCATGGCAGGGATCTGACTTGGAATGCTTGGGGTTCTGTAGGTCCTCACCCTCCTCCAACACGCCCTCCCCCCTTACCTCTGCCTTACTGGTCTCTGGTCCAGAAGGAGGTCCCCTGAACACATCACTGCTTTGTGGCTCTGGGGATGAGGGGCTCAGGGTAGGAGTTCTGCCTCCTCTGTTCTATTTCTATTCCCCCGGGGGCCAGGTGTCCCTTGTGACAAAAGTTCCCAGGACATTCACAGGGCTGTGTCTGCATACTGGTAGACCTGATGTCTTTCAAAATTCTTTTCTGTATTAACTGAATCTCTTATAATGAGCATGTTTTCTTTTATAGTGAGGGAGAAAAGGGAAGTCTGTTTACGTGTAGTAAGACCATGCTCAGATCATAATTTTTTTCCTCACCCCTGGAATTTAAGGGATGCAAATACACACCTGAGGCAGAGCTTGCCGTAGGTGGACAGCAACATGGGATGTCAGAGGACTTTCCAATATGGAGCCAAGTGGGCTGGAAATGCAGCGGTTCAGTGCTGAGATGCAGGGCTTGAGTCCCCTGACATCCCATGTGGCCGTGCTGCATCCAGCACGAGCTGGGCCAGGCCCGTGCCCGGGCCCTGCCTGTCAGCCACTCTCCCTCCAGGTACGAGATCAAAGACCTCCTGAGCCACGCCTTCTTCGCAGAGGACACCGGTGTGAGGGTGGAGCTGGCAGAGGAGGACCATGGCCGCAAGTCCACCATCGCTCTGCGACTCTGGGTGGAAGACCCCAAGAAACTGAAGGGAAAACCCAAGGACAATGGGGCCATTGAGTTTACCTTCGACCTGGAGAAAGAGACACCCGACGAGGTGGCCCAGGAGATGGTGAGCATGTCTCCTGCACCCATGCACACTCAATCAGGGGTCTCAGAGGGTCTTCGGTGCAGGTCTTGGGTACCTGTTGTTTCTACAGATGAGAATAAGTACAGACTGGAATAAGAGGAGCCTGGAATGGACGGTTCAGTGGGAGTGGCCAGCATGGGCCATGTGGCAAGGGTAGGTTTGAGGAGGACTCTCAGTCCTGGCAGTCAGCTCTGTCTGTACGGTGGCATAGGGGATGGAATTTTCCAGGGCAGGGGACATGGGAGGTGAGTGGCACAGGAGTGTGGCCATGGAGAGGATGACCCAGGAGCTCTGAAGTATTGAAAGGCTTCACGTGCTTTGACCAGACTCTTGCCAACTCTGCTTTGGTGTGATGGCTTTAAACTTGGGATCACCACCGTTTGTTTTGGGGGCACTGTCACGGTTGTTCTGGTTCTCAGTACTTTTCCATCTGGAAAAGTGATAGAAGGGGTATCTTTCCCTCTCTTCTCTTCTTCCTGCTCCTCCTGTCACTTTCACCTCTGTCTGTGAGTGAGGAGCAGGTTGGGTACCACAAGGGTGTGGGCAGGTGGCAGGAGTGATCCTTTCTACCCGGGAATCAGGCTGAACCACATTGAAGGGCTCCTGAGCCAGCCAGGGCAGGAAGACAGGAGAGACTGGGTGGACAGCAAAAATGGAAAGGCACAGCCCAGGTGTGGGTGTGGATGAAAGAGAGGCCACGCTGATGCCAAGTGTTCACAGTGAAAATTGTGCAGGGTATGTGGCAGGGGGCGTGGGAGACTGCTCCGGAACCTTGAATGCCAGACTAGATTATTCTGACTCGATTCTCTAGGCCTGTGCCAAAAATAGGATGTCCAATAGTAGCCCACATGTGACTACTGAGATCTCAATTTTAATTACAATTTAAAACCTCGTTTCTCAGTCTCAGTAGCCTCAAGTCAAATGCTTAGTGCCACATGTGGTTGGTAGCTCTTGTCCTGAATGACACATCCTGTAGATGGTGCTGCTCTGGGCTATAGGGGCTGCTGAAGTGCATGGCCAGGCGGTGTGGATGCACCCATCAGAGTTAGGGCTTATTTGTTGGCACTGGGCAGTTAACCCCAGAGACTGCAGTGGTGGAAGCCTGGCCAGGGAGGGGCCACTGCCGCCCTCGAGATCCCCTGTGTGGGCCTCGAGACAGACACAGCCGTCTTTGTCACTGATTACAAAAGATGAACAGACTTAGACTTTAAGTCAAGCAACTTGATACGCAACATATGAGAGTCGGCGCTGAAACAGACAGAAGCAAGAAAGTCACAAGGGGGCAACCAATGGGAACGAGCGCCTGAGATGGCGTTCAGTGTTGCAGGCGAAAGTGTTGTGCATGAGGAAGCAGTGAGAGGCTCATGTTGCGTGGACGAGCCGAGCAGAAATGACTCCAGTGTGCTCCCTGCAGGAGAGCCCCTGCTCACGTGTCCTAGCCACAGAGGTGCACATCCCTTTTCTATTACTAAAAATATACTTTTTACTGAATATAGCACAGCTGCTGAAAGCATCCACATGCCACCATTCATACTGACAGTCCTGCATAAGCTTCACATCTCTGGGCTGGGCTGAGTCTCAGTGAGCAGAGGAGGACCATTCCCCAATGGGGTCGGCTGAAGGCAGGAGGGTGGCCAGCAGGTCCTGCTCAGATGGGGAAACTGAGACTTGGCGATGCCACGGAAGTTGTGGGCCCTCAGAGGCAGCCACATGTCTGTCTACCCTGTGGACTCTGCTCCTGTTGGCACTGCCTGTCCCTGGACCCAGCACGTGGCACAGAAGTCTGCTAGGTCTTTGGCACAGGCTGTGCAGCAAGGTTGGTGCAGGGAGTGTCCAGGCTTCCTGCAGTTGGAACCCCAAAGAGGGGAGCTGGCAAAACAGAGCTGCTCCTGAGGATTGCTACACACCCAAGGGATCCAGGCTACATGAGCCAAGATCCTGCAGATTCTCAAGGCCATAGGACTGCTCTGGGTGCTCCTCATGTTGCCTCCAGCCTCTTTACAGCTGTGGAGTGGGTGCTTCTGGTGTGGACTGACATGTAAGACCTCAGTACTGGGACCGAGGTGCAAGGATACACCTTCTCAAGCTGGCCAGGACTTTGCCTTCCCCTGGACAGCAGCCTGTGTCCAGGCTGCAGTCTCACAATGACAGTGCTCGTGATGTCCCTCAGACTGGCTTCTCTGTGGGGCTCTTCCTGCAATCTGCTGTGCCATCACTGCAGACGCTCTAGAGTGGCTGCCTGTGTCCCCACCCAGCTTGTTTCTGGTCACATCCCTGACCCAGACACAGACACCGCTGCTGTGAGCAGATCTAAGGGGGGTGCTGAGCTCTGCACTTCCTGGGAGATCTTCCGTGGCTCTTGATGGGCTTATGTGGTACACAGGGCACATTTTTAATTCCCTGAGTTTACTGAGTTGTACCAGGTAACTACAGCACATCTGTCCAGTAACTGTAGAGCACATTCCTACTCACTAACGCAGTGCCACAAGTTCCTCGTGCTTTCAATGCAAGTGGCAAATGCTGAGTGAGTATATCAGGCATGTGTGGCATGTGAGCTGAGGACAGAGATGCTGGACACAGCCAAGAGCGTTTTTTCGAGGAAACTGCATCGGCCATTTGGTGAGAGGTCCGGGGTGACAGGGAGGAGAGTAGGAAGGCAACCTTTTGAGGGGGAATGGCCTGTAAGAGCCTCCCACGCATGAGGGTGAGGAAAGTCCTGGGGCTGCCACGCGGGCTCTGGCCTCGCAGGAGCATCTCTGACAGGTGCTGAGGTCAGGCCAATAGCAAGAACACAGGAGTGTTGGGACAGGAGGGTATTGGGACTTCCAGGTTTCAGTGTGGTAAAATTGCTGCAGGAAGGGTAGGTGAAGTGAGACTCTTTGGTTCCTTCAAAAATATGGTTGAACCTCCTCTTTCTCGGGGCATATGGAACTGGGAGGGCCGGGAGCAGGAGGGGACACCAGGGCTCAGCTGTGATCCTGACTCAGCTGGCGCATCCAGGAGGCCCCTGGGCCCCACACAGTGGGCTCTGGCTGTCTGTGCCTCCACTGCCCAGGCAGCCATCCCTTTGGCCTTAGTTCCATCAAGAGATGGTGGCACCCAAAACGTGCCATAGGCCTCCTTCCCTGTCCTCCACTCAGTGACCTCTGCACCAGGTGAGTGGGAAGAATCTCATGTGACTGACTTTTTATCTACATGGAGTCTTGGCCTCCCCACCCCACCCACCTCCTCCAGGGCCATTGTGTGCATTGCTCTCCCCTCAACCCGTGGCCTCCTATGTTTGTCACCACACAAGTTCCAACACTTGGCTAAATTCCTGGGCTCTGTTTTTCATCAGTTCACAGCTGAAACTCCTCAACCCGACACCATCACCCCTCCCCCCCCTTCTGTGTCTTCTACCTTTTAAAATTATGGGACTTGCTACCTGTGGACTAGAGTGGCCCCCAACCTTTTTGGCATCAGAGACTGGCTTCATGAAGGTTAGTTTTTCCACAGATGTGGGTGGGGGTAGTTTTGGGATGATTCAGGTGCATTTCTATTATTGTTACATTGTAATATATAATGAAATAGTTACACAACGCACCATAATGTAGAATCAGTGAGAGCCCTGAGCTTGTTTACCTGCAACTAGACAGTCCCACCTGGGGGTGACAGGAGATAGTGCTAGCATTACCACCTCAGCTCTACCTCAGATCATCAGGTGTTAGATCCTCGTAAGGAGCGCACAACCTAGATATCTCTCATGCACAGTTCACAATAGAGTTCATGCTTTATGAAGTCTAATGCCACTGCTAATCTGACAGAAGGCAGAGCTCAGGCGGTAATGTGAGAGATGGGGAGTGACTGTAAATACAGATGAAGCTAAGCTTGCTCACCCACTGTTCACCTCCTGCTGTGTGGCCCAGTCAGTCCGTGGCCCTGGGGGTTGGGGGATTCCTGAACTACAGGATCTGTGAAGAAGGGACATGACCTGTGTTCAGTTAAGGAACAAGAATAAAATAGTGCGCACCCCTACCCCACTAAGACCAGAGGAGGTAACACCTGGGGGCCCACCCTTGACCAACTAAAAGCTACTCGTCCCCATGACAGGGAACTCATTCCACGTGAATGACCCTGCATGTGCCTATGGCAGTTTTGGCTTTGCCCCAGTCCCTTGCTAGGCCTTGAGGGTTAATGCTGGATCTCCAGGGGCCTCTCCACGTTCTAGCCTGCCCTCCTTCCTGCCTAATTGAGGCATCTGAGTCCAGCACTGGGGTCTCCCCATCTCTCTGGAATCCCAACACCAGCCTGGCTATGGGCCGCAGGCTGGAGGGGCCTAGTGTCATGCTGTAAAAACAAAATGATATCACTGCCCTCCCCCCCATGACTGGGGAGATACTGGTACCTTGGAGCACCTGGGTCTGAGCCTGTGGAGAGAAGTTCTGGAATGGATGAGACTTCCTTCCGCAGGGACCTTGGGCAGGAGGGGATGTGAGTGGGACAGAGTCCTTCTCAACTCAAAAAGTCCCACAGGCAGGCCGTGGTGGAAGAGAAAGATCCCTGGAGAGAGGGAGGGCCAGGTGCTGCTGGGAACAGAGCTGGCCTCGATCTGGAAGTGACCTCCCAGGAGTCAAACTCCCAAGGGGAGTGGCAGGGAGGGAGCCTGCAGGTGTAAACCAGGAGTCTCAGGCTACCCCTTACCTCCACCCTCATGACCTATGGATAATAGGACATGCCTGTGTCATACAGAATGCAGCTGAATTCTTCTGTTTGGGAAAAAAATAGAAGAAATGCCTTAAAGAGGAAGACAGGGGGTGGTGACAGTGAAGACAGACGGAAGGAAAGCAGGACGTGGGCTGTGGCACTGGCAGAAAATGGAAACCATGGTGGGTGTGGTCTTCAGCGGCCTCTAAGGGCAAGTATGATTTTTGGTGGCCTCTGGTCAAGTATCAGGCTGAGGTGGGCATGTGTGGAGTAACTGACTTGGGTGAGACCCCAAGGTTACTTGGTGCCTCGGGGACACTGCATGCTCCCCAGGATCGGAAACCCTGAGTGAACAGGTTCTGCCAACTGGCTACACACACCTGCCCAGGTACCAGCAACAGGGACATCACCAGTCTCAACCCTTTGGGGTTGGAGCCCATTTTCTAGGGCTTCTTGGGAAAATGCCTACTCCTGACTGTGAGGTGGGACGAGGCCCTGGGTCTGGCCACTCCACTGGGTGTGCAGCCTGACTCCCTCCTTCCTAGGCCAGCTGCTCTGCTGCAGAGCCATCCTGGAGCTGCCGTGGAGCCACCACGGAGCTGCCACAGAGCAGGCAGCCAGTGCCTCATGGGAGTGGGGAGCCAGGCCTGCGGGGCACCCTGCAAGTGGCAGGTATGCCTAAAGGAGCTGCCAGCCTCTGGTCACACCTTGAGACCCCTCCTTGCATTGCTGGGAGTCAGAGGAGGCTTTGAGCCCGGGTTTCTGTCAGGGAGCTTCCTTCCATCCAAAAGAGCCATCTTTGGAAATAAAGTGTGTTGAAAGAATCTCAACCTGACTGAAAATCCAAAGGTACCACAAAGCCATCTGTTTTCCATGAACCATCTGAGGATATGTGCTTGACTGGATTCCCCTTTACCCCTGAGTACTTCTGTGTCTGTTTCTACAAACTAGGACATGTCCTGCACAGCCAGACAACATCAGGAAATACCATTGAGCCATCCTAGCCCTCCTGTCCTTGAGCCACTTGGGTCCCCAGTTGTGCGGGTTACACAATCACATGTCCTTTCATTCTCTTCGGCCCTTCACTTCCATGGCCTGTCCCTGGGAAAGGGCTCAGGTGTACCTCTGTGGGCGTGTCGTGATCAGGCCTTGTGTCTTTGCCAGGCCAGGTTCATGTGTATCCACAGGGTGCAGAGCGCTATCCGTCCATCCCCTCAGGCAGGATGCTAGCTCTGGACTTGGTGTGGGCGCCAGGCTGGGTTGCTCTCACCTTTTGTTATTGCACATGTCCCCTGGGAAGTGTTTGGACCCTTGTAAATCTCATTTTTCATCAGACTTCCCTTTACTGTGTTCATATCTCTCTGTGGATGCATGGCTTCATTTTGCTCAGTAGGTCGTAGTCCACGTGTGTGTCTGTTGCTGCCTAGCAAATTACCCACACATGGCTCTGGAAATGCTTCTAGCCTCTTACCATCTCCAAGGTCAGGGATGGGGGTCTCAGTGGGCATCTCAGCTCAGAGTACTTCATGAGGTGCCACCAGGTGTTGGCCCAGACAGCAGTCTCAGACCTTGCCAGGTGGGTCTCTGCCATAGGGCTACTTGTGACAGGGCTTTCCCTGAGCAGATGGTCATGAGGGAGGAGAGAGGGAGGAGGAAAGGAGGGAGGAAACACTAGAGAAATTGGCTGGGGGAGGTACAGAGGAGAGAGACAGAGGGAGACAGAGAAGGAGGCAGGGGGACCACACCCACTCGTGGCCTTCCCCCCACCATACCTCTGTGACGCCTCGTCCCTCCTGCCACCACAGATTATATGCAAAATACATGTCCGAATCTGTAGACACGTCCTTCAGGCTGTCATCATTTCACTGTTCATTTTGATGCTCAGAGTGTCCCAGATTTGCCAGTGGAGGCCCTGGGCGCTGGATCCCGTGTCACTGTGCACGTCCCCATCATTCTCTGAGGACATCCTGACCTCTTGCCTAGCTTGCTGGCTCCCTATTATGGCCTAGCTCTGGGTGTCTTGCTGTTGTGTCGTTCCTCCCAGGCCCTCTGGGTAGACAGAGGTTGCAAGTACATGCATGTCTGTTCTGCGCACCGTGTGTGTGTGTGTGTGCATGTATGCGTGTGTGCGTGCATGCTGCCTATGTGCGTATACCTGCCTGCCTTACGGTTCACAGCAAAGCTCCATCCTACCCAGAAGCTGGGCTCTGCTTCAGGTTTCTGCCTCTCCCTGCTTGAGGAGCCAACCATCCATGTCCATTGCTCCTAATTCTGTTTGGCCAGCCCTGCTTAGGGTCACTGGCCTCCAGCTGAGCTGTCACCACCCCCACCTCCCCTAGGATGGGCTTCCCTCCAAGCCCACTCCCACACCAGGCTGCCTCCTGCAGGGTACCTCCTCGCCTCAGAGACCTGGCTATCCATCTGGACTGTAGTTAATCTTTAGGACCCAGCTTCTCAGGAAGGAAGGGAGCTTGGGTAGATTTGGAATCTTAGTTCTGGTGCATTTTCATGTGTCTGTGGTCACCACACCTGCCACCTGGGAGAGCACCCCCTCCGAAAAGGGTTTCATTCATCAGAAAGCAAGAAGGTCATTTTGCCATGAGTGCTCTCAGCAACTTCACAATCTTTCCTGAAGATCTTGGGCTCTTTTATAAGTGCTTTCAGTGGCTCTGTCTGGCAGGTTGGCTTTAGAATTTTGCCAGGTGTGAGTGCACACCCTACTGGTCTCAAATGACCAGGTGCGCCTCTTTCCTCCATGTAGAACTCAGTCATGTCCCCATCCCCCATCTTGGGCAGCCCCCCAACCTCCGAGACAGCTCAGAGGATGCCAAGGAAAGCACTGGCCCCTTAGCTCCTTGTCCCTGTTACTGAGCACAGAGACAACTAGGAGCCCCTTCCTGTCCAAGGCCAGCCTGGAGCTTGAAGCCCCAGGGGACCAGCCACTGGCTGCTCTAGGTTTCGCTCTTGCCATTGACTCTGCGGGAGGCAGGTCAGGCCTGGGCAGTGGTCTCTCTTTCCCTCACCATGTGCCTGTTGCTGTCCCATAGCTGAGCCCTCAGGATTCTACAGTGGGGGTGGGGGGAATAATTACTCATGGGCATCCTGAGAGGAGCAAGCCCTGTGTGAAATATGGGGCAGAGTGGGCCGGTCCCCAGTAACACTGACCATATTACTGCCTTTGCAGATTGAGTCTGGATTCTTCCATGAGAGTGACGTGAAGATTGTGGCCAAGTCCATCCGTGACCGCGTGGCGTTGATCCAATGGCGGCGGGAGAGGATCTGGCCCGTGCTGCAGCCCAAGGAGCAGCAGGATGCAGGCAGCCCTGACAAGGCCAAGGGGCCACCGGTGCCCCTGCAGGTCCAGGTGACCTACCACACGCAGGCTGGGCAGACCGGGCCACCAGAGCCTGAGGAGCCAGAAGTCGACCAGCACCTCCTCCCACTTACGCTGCCAACCAGTGCCACCTCCCTGACCTGTGAGTGCTCAGGTGGGGTCACTATGGCACATCCCTTGGATGTGGTGTCATGAAGCTCTGAATGGTCCCCATGTGTCGGTGTGGTTGCTTCCCACTGTAGTTGGTCCCAGGAACTCCACCTCGGCTCCCCTACCCCATGATGGGTTTGCTTCCTGCCAGCACCTTTAGTGACATGTCACAAACCTGGGAAGAGGACACATCCCAGGGTGGGGGCCAGCTGGGACATGCAGGTCCTGAGTCCTTGGCCAGTCTGGGGTCTGTACCCCCAGACCACACCCTGTAGGTGAACAGTAAATATGGGTGAGCGTTGTTTCAGGAAGGGACTAGGGCTGTCCCTGCATTTCCCAGTAATCTGTGAGCAGAAGGGGCTTAAGGCTCACGAAATTCTGCTTCTCAGGACGGACAGGGACAAAGGCGCCCTGAGCCAGCAGGGTCTGACGGAGCCCATTCAGTTCCACTCCCCACTGTGGAGTTGTGGACTTGGGGCAGGTTCCTTATCCTGTCTGAGAATGACAGTCCTGGTCTCATGGGGGAACGTGAGGGCCATGTGAGGTACTGGCAGGGGCTGCTCAGTGGGCCATCTGTCCAGTGGACAGAGCGTGCACTGTCTTGGCTTGTGGTGTCACCACCGGGATCTTCCATCCCTGGTATTACACCCTTTCTAGCAGCAGAACCTCTGAGACCTTCCGTACATGTTCAAGAGGGTGTTACCGTGAATTGGCAGAAGTCACTTTGCATTCAGGCTTCACCTAAGGACATTTAGAAAGAATATAGTGTCTTCTGCACACATAGGCAGAAAAGCAACCTGCTTACAATCCTTGATGTCCTGAATATTCAAGGCTTCAGTGAGGATGGAGGGCTGTGGCTTTGTCTATTCTGTGAATGAGCACGGAGTGACCATTCAAAGCCCAGGGACCTAGACTGGCCCTGTTCTGGTGGCTCACACGGAAAAACTAAAATAGTCTGTTTAATTTATTTAATACGCACATCCTTCATTTGTCATTAAAATAGCTTGTTCTTCACAGTAGGCTATTTAAATTCAAACACACAGTCACCACACTGAGATAGGCTGCCTACTATTTATTTCACTCAAACCTGCTCAGGTTTGCTTTGGAGAAAGTAATTGGTACATCATCGCTCTATTTTTTGATAAATCTAAAAAGTTACCACAGACTTTTTGCAGGAAAAAAGTCACATTCACAATTTCTAGGATGGGAATTTAAATCTTCCTTTTGTTGTACTTGGAAGAGACAGTTTGTGATCTAGAAGTATGTTTAGCTGTGGTCAGATATGATCATTCAGGTCTCATCCACCACGAGGTCAGATGGAGACACCAGTTGACTGATGAGTCTGCAGACTGCCCACGTCCAGCTTGATTCAGCTGCCACACTTCTCAAAAATGCTCTCACTCATTTATTACATTTTCTTTAAAAGAGAGAATATAGTCACACTGCATAGCATTCCAAAGACTGGGAGGGTGTACAGCAAGTCACATAACTGTCTTCCCTGAGGTAGCAGATGCTACCAGTCTCTTAATTGTCTTTCTAGAGATAATCTACACTTTAGCCTACCACACAAACAATGCACTAACACACATGCAGGCACATGGATACACAGGCACACCCACATGATACATATGGGTGCATGCTTGCACACATGCATACACACAAATATACACCATACATATGTGAACACATGCATGCACACAGAAACATGCACACTCCACACATGTGTGCACACACGAACCTTCTACACATGGTTATACACCTGCACATCCACATGCATGCAAACATATGTGTGCACACTAACCCATGGGCACACCGCATGTGTGCACATACATGTGAGCAGTGCACATGTGTGTGGGCACATGCATACACACCCATATTTGTCTGAACACATGCATGCACAGAGACATGCACATCTCTCACATGGGTGCACGCACATGCATCCACCTTCTACACATGGACACACATTCGCACATGCACACATATGTATACACACTCATGCATGCATATGAACATGCCCACTCTCATGTTTTCCTCTGTTCCACAATAGATAGTATCCCCCACATACTCTTCTGCATCTTCCTCTGGGCTCCTCTGGGTCAGAACAGAAAGCCCACCAGGATCCAGTCTGTGTAGCACAATTGGCAAACACACATTCTATGTTAGAAAATGCAAATGTATCTTACTTTTGACAATTCCCCTGTTGTGCCTTAAACTACTCACCCTCAGTCTTGGCCCAGCTCAGTGGGGCTTCCTTGGTGACTCCACAAAAACAGCTAATAACTGCAGTAGCACAATCTGTCAATAGGTTCAAAATTGATTTCTAAACTGTGTAACTATACAAGTAATGAACACATTCACTTTAGAAATGTGAAGTGTCACACATGTAGTTAGAGTTGCAGTACTTGAAACTTGTCTGGTCCCTTCGTGGTCACCTCCTCCCCTTATCCTCTCTCCCCTCCCTCCCCACCCCCACCCATCAAGCAGAAATGACCACACTTTAATGACCAGTTGGCTCATTAAAAATCAGAGCCGCTCGTCTAATTGGTTTTGCACAATTAAACCTCGGCATTCCTTATGGCTTCCTAGGTTAAAACAGGTTCTAATCAGTTTCTGGGAAAATTGTTTTAATGCAAGCCATCAAGATTTCCTGTTTACTTTGTTTAAATTATAAATGGATATAATACCTTGAAATGTAGCCCCTTGTGCAGATAACTTAGTAGTCATAGGTAGTGAGTCCTAGGGCTTCTGCTGCTTTGGCATCTGGGAGCAGTAAACCCAAAGTGCTATTTCAGATAGACTCTCTCTTTTCCCGCGACTGGCATGACCACACAGGCAAAGCTGTTCCCAGGCATGTGCTGGGAAGACCAGCCCATGAGCTGTGGGGCTTCTGTCTGCATCCCCATGGGCAAGCAGGTCTGTCCGCTGCTTCTGTTTGCTGGAACTGGGCTGGTCTGATCTGTTTGAGGCCGGCATCTCAGGATCCTGGAGCTGTGGATGCTTGCTGCCACTCCTGCCTCTGCATCGCCTGCACAGCAGTGCATCCCCCTCTTGAGGCCGCTCTGTAGAGTAGGGGAGACCTCAGCTCTATTTCCAACCATTTTAGACCTGGTTCTTTGACTCCAATCCCCCTGTTCAGGCCATTTGCCGCAGTGTGTGAAGGTGTCAGAGTCTTCAGACACCCGTCCCTCATGAGACACAGGTGATAACTGTCTCCCCTATAGTTAAGACACCAGCCTTATCTTCTCATAGACGTTCTATCAGCCTCCCTACCTCCCTTTAAGGACTGGGACGGGCATTGGCTTTAAGGGCTGGTTGCGTGTCAGGTTCTACCTGTAGACCAGGTGTACCACCATGCCTGGCATCAAGCTAGCCAAACATCAGCCATGTCAGGCTGGGGCACATGACAGAATCACATCATTTATGTGATCTGGGGAAACAGCCACACCTCTGGCTTGCAGAAGATCATACAAGCCCGTTGAAGCCATTTGCCAAGTCTACCTGACCAGAGCCGGTCCTCCTTTGCAATTTACATTTGGAGCAGTTTTGTTCATTTCACAAGATGAAGTGAAATGTGGTCTTAACTGACAGAAAGCGCTTGTTTACGAGAAGCCAACTTACCGCTTATGTGGTGTTTGGAGATGTGCCCTCTGAGTCCTCTTTTGTCCTCCTCAGCGGACAGCACCTTCGACAGTGGCCAGGGATCCACAGTCTACTCGGACTCCCAGAGCAGCCAGCAAAGTGTGGTGCTGGGCTCTCTTGCAGACACAGCACTGCCCCCCACCCAGTGTGTGTGCAGCCCCCCCATGAGTGAGGGGCCCGTCCTGCCTCAGAGCCTGCCCTCACTGGGGGCCTACCAGCAGCCTGCATCTGCGGTGAGTTAGAGCACCACCCCACTCCATTCCCACAACTCACTCTGGGGGCTTCGGGGTTCGCAGTAGGCCCTCCAGGCTATGCTGCACTGTGGTCAGCATTGAGATGGGCTGTGGGTCAATGCCCGGCCACTTTTCCTGGAGAGAGAAACAAAAACGGGTCCAGGGGAGCCCCATCTTCTCTGGTGACTGTGCCTCTGATGAACCGTAAAGACCTACTGAATGAGAAAGATGCCCAGTTAGAAAACAGACCCTAGGAGCAACCAGAGCTTGGGAGGTTATGAGAGAGCTAACCGGCCCTACCCTGTGGTGGCAGGCCCTGGTGGTGACAGTGGCACCTGGCGACTGTGTCCTGGGCCACTATCTCAGACTATCCAAAAAATGACAGAAAAGTGTCTTGTATTATGAAACTTGAGCTTCGATCTCATGTCTAGCCCACAGGGTCAGGCCCAGCCCTGACACGTTTCCCTGGATAATGTGTAGCTGTTAAAGGCAGAGCCATAGAGGTAGGTGGGTGGGCATACAGGCAGCACTTTTAGGGCATATGTTTGGAGAAGCACGAATGATGGAGTCTCAGGCCATGATGACACATAGGAGATGGCTCCTAGATATGGGAGAGATGCATGGGGTCACATTTGGCTTTTTTTTTTGGTTTGGAATTTTTTGTAACACTAAAGGAAGCAAAATAATCACTCACGACTTCACAGTGCGAAGTGCCCAGCCACAGAGGTTGCCCCTGGTGTGGAGCAGAACCTCTCGCGTGGAGCAGAGTCCATGGAGGGTGATTCGTGGGGTGAACTGTCTCTATCATCCCTGGCAAGGTTCCTGCCCAGCGCTTTGGCGACCCTGGGTCTCACTGGACACTCCAGTCACCATGGCTGCCCCTGGCACTGCCTGAGCACAGGTGATGGGGCAGTGCTGACCATCCTGTGGTACCCCTGCACTCAGGCTCTACCTTCCTCTTCTCTCCACACAGGGCTGGGCAGTCAGAAGGGCCCAGCTGAAGCCATTTGCCAAGTCTACCTGACCAGAGCCAGTCCTCCTTTGCAATTTGCATTTGGGGCAGTTTTGTTCATTTCAGAAGATGAAGTGAAATGTGGTCTTAACTGACAGAAAGAACTTTTGTTTATGAGAAGCCTACTTACCGTTCCAGAGTGGTGGTTCTTGGCCCTGAAAGTCATCCAAGCTGGGGCTAGGGTCTTCCCACTGCCATTCGGTGCACTCATCCTGGGTTCCTACCAGGCTGCATCCATCTCCTGATGCCTCAATAGCACTGCTGGGCTCAGCATCAGTGTCTAAACCTGGAGACCCAAGTAGGGATATCACAGGTGTAGCCATCATGGACTCTGGCTGCAAGCTCTCTCTCATGTCTCCCTGCCTAGTGACACAGAGACACCTTAGACAGAAAGGTAGGGTCCGGAAGAGTCCCCACGTGCCTCTCCTGGGAAGGTTGCCAAAGTGACATGCCCCAGGGGGCTCAGTGAGGGAAGAGAACAGGCAAGGAGGAGCACCACAGTGGAACTGCCAGGCCTCCCTGGAGGCCATTGGGAACTCACATCTACCTGCTCCCAGTTTGCTAGGCCCTGCCCGAGCTCCTATACTGTGTAGGTAGTCCAGCCAAGCCAGGTCCATTCCTCCTGCTCTGTGACTTCCGGTGAATCCAAAAGCCTGTCTCGATTCCAAACACACCTACTCTCCCCATGCTGCCCTTCTGTGAGACACAAGTGAGCAAAGACAGTCCTGGGTGTCACCAGTGTGTAGGTGACACAGAGGCCACCAGAGGAGAACCATGAAATCCAGTTCTGAAAAGCAGGGATAGAGCTCAGACTCATGTCCTCTGAGCCCTGCCTATGCCACATGTTCCCACTGTTTAGAAGTAAATCCAAGACCTCAAGACACGGACCCTAGAAATATTTCAGCCTCTATCTCTGCACGCTAAGGACTCTAGAGGACAAAACCCAATGCCATGATTACACCAAAGAAATTAACATGAGCATGTATATGAGCATGCCCACTTTCATGCAGTTCCTTAACAGCATCAAATATCTGAGCGCTGAGATTTCCAGTTATTTAGCAGTCCAGGTTCATGCCACCACTGCCTAGGGGCGTACGTCCCATTGCAAGGCCAATCTCTCTAACCCCTTGTGGCTGAGTCCTAGGGATCCTGTTTTGCTGCCTGTACCTGTGGCCCAGTACCTTCCTGGCAGCCGTTGTGCTGGTTGTATTCATATTTCCATAGTGTTTATGAAGTGTCCATGGGTATCATCTTACATAATTGCAGTCACAGAGACGATGAGCTTCCCCCATTCAATGTGTTATGGGGCCTTTCTCCACAGTTCTGCAAGGCCTTCGGAATGATCTTTTTCACAACTGTATCATATTCCATGGGGTTGATGTGCTAGAAGATTCACTGGCCAGGAGCATGGCTATTCCTGGCTCTTTACTGCTATGAGTGATGCCTCAGGAGCCACCATATCTTGCTTCCACCGAGCCACATTCCTGGGAAGAGGGTCCTTAGTGAGCCTAGGCACGAGGATAATGTGGGGCTGCCCACCCCTGCCCAGGAGCTTGGGCTTGGAGGTTCCTGAGCAACTGCTGAGTGTGGTCTGCATGCTCTTCACAGCCTGGCCTGTCGGTGGGCTCCGTCCCAACCCCTGCCCACCCTCCACTCCTCCAGCAACACTTCCCGGAGCCCGCCATGAGCTTTGCCCCAGTGCTGCCGCCACCCAGCACACCTGCACCCACAGGCCCAGGCCAATCAGCACCCGCTGGCCAGCAGGTGAGTGTGGTGCCTCCTTCCACCACTGTCAGTATGACCGCAGTACATGGCCCCTAGTGGCAAGCAGTCAGTTCTGCTAGCCCTGGGAACCCAGGTCTGTGAGAGCCTGCCTCAGGCTTCTTACCTCGTGTTCGCTGTGGGTCCCCTGGGTCTGTGGTGTGGGGTTTGGATGGGGGTGGAGGCAACTCTCGTGTGTGTGACTGTGCAAGTGTGTGCATGTGTGTGCAAGTGTGTGTGTATGCATGGGTCTCTGTGAACGTGACTGCGTGTGTCTGTGTATGTGTGAGGGTGAATTGACTTTCTGTCTTACCTAAGCATGTGGGTGAACCCCATCTCAGAAAATTGGTAGTCTAAGGGGAGCCCCCTGCTCTCCCTCCAGCCTCCTCCACTGGCCCAGCCAACGCCCCTGCCGCAGGTCCTGGCCTCACAGCCCATGGGTCCCCTCCAGCCGGTGCCCCCCCACCTGCCTCCATACCTGGCTCCAGCCTCCCCGGTGGTGGTCCCTGCCCAGCTGAAGCCCCTCCAGATGCCACAGACGCCCCTGCAGCCACTTGCTCAAGTCCCTCCACAGGTACTTCTGGGCTGATGGCCGCTGTCAGTGGTGGCCTGCGGGTTGCCAAGCCCCGGCTGGGGTAACACTGCACCCACAGGGGCCTGTCTATACATGGAACCTGGGGGAGGGGCAGGGCTGGGGAGTCAGGCCTCAGCTGCCTTGGGTTTATGTACTATCACATGTGCTAGGATTGCTCCAGGGCTCAACATGGCAAGCCTTGTGTCCTCCCCCTACCCATCACACCAGACCCCTAAGAGTGACAGCTTCCAATTAGACTACTCTGTCCTGTCCTCCAGCCTCACTTTCTCCCCCAACTGGAGGGCCATTCTTGGTCCTTCCAGGCCACAATGCCTTCTGGGCTGTGAGTGACTGGGGGCGAGGGTCCCTCTGGGAAGGTGGGAGGCGCAACAACCCAGCTACCTGGTACCCCACCTGCAATGTACTTATCTTCCCTGGGCATCTGCCCCAGGCACATCCAGGAAAAGGTTATTAGTCCAAGGTGGAGGACAGAAGTCATGAGGTGGCCACTGATCTGACGTGGAAAGCAGGTGGTTTTGCCTTGGGACCATCATCCTGCAGCTACCCTGAGGCTGTGCCAAACATAGCTCCCCAGAGTTCCAGGAGCCAGCAGGGAGGCACTGCTGACCGCGGGAAAGCCCAGCCTCCAAGGCTGGACTCAAGCAGCAGAAACAACTTCTGATATCTTTTTGTGGGAACACTGTCCATGAGGAGGTGGTACCCAGCCACACATGCCTGTAGCAGAATATAACCAAGTTAGGGCCCCACTGCCCAGGTAAATGCACTGAGGATCCTAGACACTCTGGATCCTTGAGTGATGCCGATGGGCCAGTCAGTGGTAGGACAGGAAGTGGTCTTCGCTCTGAAGATGATGGTCCCCATGGGGCAAGTGAGTGCTCCTGCAAATCACAGGCCCCACCTGGAGGATTCTCTGTGGGAACTTACCTGCTGCCCAGGTCCTGTCTTCATCACAGCGAGTTGGAGTCAGCTTCGGGGTTTAATGAAGTCACCATCCTGTTCATTCAAGTAGACAGCAGTGCACGTGAGCATTTCTGCTGACTGCACAAAGGGGGAGTGAAGTGATACGCACATACACGGGACAGCTTTACCCTTAGACCCAAGTGCTAACTCACAAGGTCCTGCGTTGGCTGCCTGCCCTAGGTGCGTGCACATGTGCACTCCAAAAGGACACAGATGGGAGGTGTCTGGGAGGCTGGACAGGATGCAGTGTGCTACCTCTGCCAACCAAGGGGCCGCAAAGATACCTTTCATTGAGATCCCTCCAAGGAGTTAGTATCCACTTGAATTCTTACAGGTTTTGGGGATAAGGCCAAGGTGACTTTGGATGCCTGAGGCCAGGCTCTGACAGTCCTGGTCCTTTCTCATGAAGGCGGTCCAGAGCTTCGAAGTCACTCCTCTGTGACCCATGATCACTCCTCTGGCCACTCCCAGTTTCTGAACTACCCTGACACCCTCAAGTCCCCAGTGTGGCCCACTAGGGGTGAGGGTGGGTCCTAGATTGGTCTCTAGCAGGTTCTGCCCGGTTGGTCTCCAGGCTGCCGACCCCCTTTTCTCTCTGAAGAGTTCCATGAGGTTGGGGTTTCCATTTCAGTTGAGTTTATGTTCGGGGCTCCTGCCATAGTAGCTACACAAAGGTGTCTCAGAGGGAAAAAACCACTGCCCTTGTCCCACCGTCCCACTGACCATGGCTGTCCCTGCATGCAGGTGCCGTGGACAGGGACGCCAGCATGAGGTTGCACTGACTCACTCCTGTATCTCTTTCAGATGCCCCCGATTCCTGTCGTGCCCCCCATCACACCCCTGGCGGGAATCGACAGCCTCCCCCCAGCCCTCTCTGACCTGCCGGCCACGAACGTGCCCCCTGTGCCGCCTCCTCAGTATTTCTCTCCGGCTGTCATCTTGCCGAGCCTCGCCAGCCCCCTACCCCCTGCATCCCCGGCCCTACCTCTGCAGGCGGTCAAGCTACCCCACGCCCCCGGGGCACCCCTGGCCATGCCCTGCCGGACCATTGTGCCAAACACACCAGCCACCATCCCCCTGTTGGCCGTGGCCCCACCAGGCGTGGCCGCCCTGTCCGTTCACCCCGCGGTGACCCAGCTCCCAGCCCAGGCCATGTACCCGGCAGCCTTTCCACAGATGGCACCAGGCGATGTCCCACCTTCTCCCCACCATGTAGTGCAGAACATGCGGGCCACCCTTCCACAGTCCACACTGCCCCCACAATCATCGCTGCCCCCACAGCCAACACTGCCCCCCCAGTCCATGCTGCCCTCCCAATCAGTGCTACACCCACAGTCGGCACTGCCCCTCCAGTCCACGCTGACCCCACAGTCCACACTGCCCCCCCAGTCCGCGCTGCCCCCACAGCCAGCACTACACCCCCAGTCGACTCTGCCCCCTCAGTCCATGCTGCCCCAACAGCCGGCACTGCCCTTGCAGTCTACACTGCCTCCTCAATCCACACTGCCCCCGCAGCCGGCACTGCCTCCCCAGCCAGGGCTGCCCACGCACCCTGAGCCCCTCCAGCCTGGCACTGTCCACCTTCCGGAGCAGGCTGCTCCGGGCACCGTGCCAGGGAGCCAGGTAATCCATCTGCGGGACAGGGGCCACCCTCTCAGTGCCTGGGGGACCCCTGGAACCCAGAGGTGCAAGGGCTTCTCGGCCACTGCCTCCTCCTGCTTAGCTCTAACTAAAAGGCAGCTCTGCCCTGGAGTCACCCCTCTCAGAAAGAGGTGTGTCAGGCTGATGTGGGGCATCTGCCATCTCCTCCTGCTTCCTACACGGGTCAGGACCCTTGGGAGTCAGTGACTGACAGGTTCTGCTGTTCCCTCCTCAAGAGATGGTAGTCCCTGTTCCTGTGGCTGAGTGTGCCCAACCAGGCCCAGTGTCTTTGCAACTTGCTGCCACCCATGTTGAGACTCAGGGTGCCCATCTGGGGTTGGCCCTTCACAGAGCATTTTGTCACAATGTGGCGGGGTGACCACCCCATCTCAGGAAGTCAGGCAGCTAGAGGGATGGGACTGAGGACAGATGGGGCTGCTGGCTGGAGGGTGGACGTGGCAGGACCTGTGTGCCCTCCCACTTGGGCCTGCTCCCACCTAGGCAAAGGTACCCTGTCCTAGGGTCAGGTGGAAACCCCTGTGGCAGCTTGTCAACTGGCTGCAAAGGAATGCTTTGGAACACAGGATACATGCCCTGCTGCAGGGAGGCTTTCCCAAGGGCTCTTCACATCTGCACAGCCCACTCGTGTTTTGGAGCTTCTGGGCTATTCTGTTCAAACTCAAGTGAGGGGAGGTGCTGGTGTGGAAGCCCCCCTCCTGGGCATCCTCCCACTTGGGCCCCTCCACTTGGGAGTCCCCTACCTGAGAATCCTCCCACCTGAGTCCCCTCTACCTGGAAGCCCCCCAACCTGGGCATCCTCCTACCTAGGCATTCTCCCACCTGGGCCTCCTCTACCTGGGAGACCCCCACCTGGGCATCCTCCCACCTAGACATCCTCTCATCTGGGCATCCTCCCACCTGGACCCTCTCTTCCTGGGAGCCCCCTCCTGGGTCCCCTTACCTGGGAGCTGACCACCTGGGCATCCTCCCACTTAGATGTCGCCCCAGCTGTGCCCCCTCTGCCTGGGAGCCACCCAACCTAGGCATCATCCCACTTGGGCATCTCTCCACACAGTACCCCTCCACCACCTGGGCATCCTCCCACCTGGTCCCTCTCTGTCTGGGAGCCCTACCTCAGCCCCCTCTACCTGGGAGTCCCCCAACCTGGGCATCCTCCCACCTGAGTACTCCCCCCACACCTGGGCACCCCCTCCACCTGGGCTCCCTCTAGCTAGAAGCCCCCCCACTCTGGGCATCTTCTCACCTGGGCCCTCTCTACCTGGAGATCCATGTGCCTAAACCTCTTCTACCTGGGAGTCCCCCACCTGGACATCCACCTAGGTCCCCTTTACTTGAGATCCCCCCAACCCGGGCACTCCCCCACCTAGGTGCCCCCCCACCTGGGTGCCCCCCCCACCTGGCCTCATTCTGGCTCTGAGCCCCACCAGCACTGTGACCATGGCATACCCCTGCCTTTCAAACCTCTGTGATCAACATAGACTGCTTGCAAAGGGGTTTGGAGCACCAAGTGCCCCCCACCCAGTGTGCACTGAATAGGACCCTGTTCTGAGAGGTTACTTCCTGGCTGTTATTTCTTGTGTCTTATCTCCAGGAGATTTGTACTCGGAGAAGGAAGGGACAGTGTTTACCGGTTAGCATTCCTTACTGTCTGGGTGGTGGAGGATCTAGAATTCTAGTTTGTTGATGAACAAGGCTGACCACCCCACAGGGTCCCCTGAGACATCCTGCATATCTGCCTAATAAAGAAATGACCATCTGCTGGGCTGGGGCTTAGTATCCCTACCCAGCCATAGGTTGCTAAAGGGATCTCGGCCAGCAGGCCCAGGTGAATGTGGCTATTCCTCCTGTTCCTGAGAGGTGACATCATTCTAAATTTTCAACCTCAATTCTAACTTGAAGCAGAGGACAGCATGCACTTGCATGTTGTAATGCATGGGCCCTTCTCCATTCATCTTACCTTTTACTCCCAAAGAGATTTTAGAGAGAGACATGTGGGTAAAGCAGGTCTAATTTGCAGGACACCCTGGGGAAGGCAGGCATGTGGGTGGGCTGTAGGATGCTCTTGGGATTGGGATGGGCCACTGCACACTGGTTTGATGCTGTGTGCCTTGCCTTGTGACCCTTTAGCTAGGCTTAGCCAGGAGTTCATGTGTGGAGCCCGGTTCCAGGTGTTTCCACACAGACTCTTACACAGAAGGGGGTGGGAGCATGCTACCCTTGTTTGCCTCTGCTAAGTCCATCCGCCGATGTGCTCTGGGACAAGGGAACATGTGGATTGGAGAGGGACATCCTGCTGTCTCCCTCCCTGGGTGCTCATTGACATGCCTGGGTATGGCCCTCATCCCCCTGACTTGCACCCTGTCCCCTGTGCCTCCAGATCCTGCTTGGCCACCCACCTCCCTATGCCATGGACATTGCCACTCAGGTCCCTGCTGTGCCCGTGCCGCCAGCTACTGTTCTCTCCCCACCTCTGCCAGAAGTGCTGCTGCCTGCCGCCCCCGAGCTCCTGCCTCAGTTCCCCAGCTCCCTGGCCTCCGCAGCAGTGGCAGCTGCTCAGAGTGTGCCCACTCAGACCACCACACTCCTGCTGCCGGCCAACCCACCACTGCCCGGTGGGCCCGTGATGGCCAGCCCCTGCCCGGCTGTCCAGCTGACAGTGGAACCAGCCCAAGAGGTGTGTGTCCCTGGCCCCCACCTGCCCTGCCTCCCGACATCGTGGCCCCTTGGGATTTGCATGGTGACTTGGGTGTTAGCCCTAGAGGTCAGGGGTGCTCAGTTCCAGGACAGCCGCATAGGTCCTGTTCTCATCTCTCTACTGAGATTTCACACTTTCTGTAAACCCACATGGAGATGGAGGATGTGATTTTTATAGATGTGCTTAGCGGATGCTTCCCTCAGACAGGATGCAAAAGCTGGTAAAAAACTTCAGTAGACCCAGTGTGTTCTCTTTGATGGATGATCAAAGTGAGTTAACATTTTTGGAAAGAGTGGCCCCTGGCTTTTAGGAATCCACTTGACACCAAGATAAAAACCTTCATATGGCCCCCTTATATGGGTGCTCCCTGGCTGCAGCAGGCAGGCAGACAGGCTGGGCCCAGTAGGTGGGGAGGGAGAGCTGACTGTGTGCAGCCCTGCCAGCAGGGAGGCAGGAGCCAGCATGACCCGTCCTCTTTCTGTGTTTTAATTTCAGGAGCAGGCTTTGCAGGACAAGCAGCCGGGCCTCCCACAGAGCTGTGAGAGGTACTGTGGCCCAGCCTCTGGGGACAGGGGTGGGGAGGTGCTGGCCCAGATGTTCACTCAGACCAACTCTCTCTGCAGCTTCACATAGATCCTGCTGCAGTTTGCCCTGATGCCATCAAGGTTTTTAACAAACATTGATGTTTTCAAACCTGGCCTGGTGGAGCCTCAGGGACCTCTGTTTGGGGTCCTGCCAGCCATTGTTGGAATCTGATAGTTAGAGGCTCCCAGTGGTGCTCTGGGTCTGCGTTCTAGGTTGTACCAAGGACATTCCAGAGAGATCAACAGCATCTAGAGGCTGAGAGGGAGTTGGGTGGGTGGCCCTTGAGTGCAGAGCTGAGTCTAGCCCATGCTCTGGGTCTCTTGGCCACCTTGGCTGCCTGCATGTTCGGGTTTTGGGGTGTAGACAGTGTCCCTACTGGCGATAGTCAGAAGAAATGTCCATTTGTCCCACCCACCTGGGGCACTGGGCACTGCGTATGCTTAGGGTTTTGCAGACTGCCCCAATCCTCACAACAAGCCCAAATGGCTGTTGTGTTCCTGTTCCTGTTGCACAGATGGGGAAACTGGGGCACAGGGACTGACTCACAGGTCAGGAAATGTATGTGCTAGATGCAGCAGGGAGCAGGGAGTGGGTTAGGGTTCCCTCACAAGCCAGCGGCTGCTTCTGTATGCTACCACTTTGGTCTCTGAAGGTTTAACAGCCCCTGGGCTGTTTTCTGAAGAATCCCTGGGTGCCATTACCTTTCTTGGTTTTTGTGCAGCTACGGAGGCTCTGATGTCCCATCTGGAAAAGAGCTGAGTGACAGCTGTGAAGGCACCTTTGGAGGGGGTAGGTTGGAGGGCAGGACCGCCCGTAAACACCACCGCAGGTCCACGCGTGTGCGCTCCCGGCAGGAGAGGGCCAGCCGGCCCCGGCTGACCATCCTCAACGTGAGTGGCAGGGGGATGGAGCGCACAGGAAATACAGTGGGGCAGGGATTGGGGGGTTGGGGGCGGGGTGCCTCCATTATCTGATGATATGGGTGTCCACAGGTGTGCAACACAGGGGACAAGATGGTGGAGTGCCAGCTGGAGACACACAACCATAAGATGGTGACCTTCAAGTTTGACTTGGATGGGGATGCACCCGATGAAATCGCCACCTACATGGTGAGGCTGGGTCTGGGTGGCTGGTGGGCTGAGGCTCGGTTCAGGAAAAGGTTACATTTGTGTTCCCCAGACTTGCTGGTCCATCTGAGACTTCCTTGCAGGAGAATGTTCTCCTAGACTATCGTGTATGCAGGAGTGAAGTTTAGGAAGCAGCCAGCTGCACTGGACAGTACTGTAGCCCCTCACCCCAGACGGCTATGAGTGCCTGGCGTGGGTTAGCATGACTAGGGAGCAGAATGTTACATTGCATTTAATTCAGTGATATAAATTGCTCTGCATTAACAGTCAACAGAAAGCGACTCCCTTGAACTGTATCCCCCAGCCACTCTGCCTCGACTTCATGAAATCCTGAAGCAGGCTTCGCAGAGGAAGTCCCTTGGCTTTCTGCTCCTTGGGGCAAGTCCCTCCATAGCGTCTGCTCTGCAGAGACACCTTGGATAAGCCCTTCTTAGAGCCCAGGACCGGTCCCTCGCAGCATTAAAGAAATTATTCTGACACTTGTCAAGGCGGTCAGGGACACTTTTTTCAGGACTATGGCAACAGGAATAAGAGAGGACTCAACTCCAAATGCAGCAGAGACAGCTGGGATCAAGAGCCAAGGAACAGGTGGGGGTCGGTGGGTGGAAAATAGCTAAGAGGAGACACCAAGGGTGGGGGATTCCAGCAAAACCCACTTACCAGGATCCTTGCTGGGGGCCAGTCAAAGGCTTAAACCTCAAGGTGGGGAATGAGGAGCTTTGTCAGATGTGAAAGCTGGGAATTCTCACTAAAATCACTTAGCACGGTTCTTGCTACAACTGGGTTAGGCTGAGGACAGAACTGGGCCTAGTCGAGACCTCCTCAGGAGAGTCTTAGGTACCACTGCACTGTCTGAGAGGGTCTTTGTCAGCAGCAAGCGACTGGTTCTTAGGGGCAGCACAAACCCACACCAAGTTCCCTCCCACTGCTGAAACCATAGATGTCTCTTGTCTCATCTCACAGTGCTTTTAACCTGTATCTTGTTAACTGTTTACATACACATTCATAAATCACAAAACATACTACAGTAAGTCCCCTACATACAAACATGTCCAATTCCGAGAGCACATTTGTAGTCCAGTTTCTTCATAATCCAGCAAAGTTACCCTATGCACCCAACTAGCACAATCAGCTGCTTTTACACCTGCTTCTAGACTCCTGGGCTTGAAATAAAGATACTGTATTGCTGTACTCTATACAGTACTGGACAGTAAAGTACACAAAAGCACAACCACTTGTAGAGGATGCACACACATGACAATGTACACCAGACACATGAACTAACTTGTGATCAGTCATGTAAATGCACGTTCTCGTCTTTGAAAGTCCGCAACTTGAAAGTTCTTATGTAGGGGATTTACTGTAATAAAGCAAATGCCTGTGATGCCCCCTCAGCCTCTGGCCACCATAGCTGCTGCTGTTTCTGTGACTCCTCCTCCTCTGGCCCCATATACCACTCACATTGTATTCACATTCCCTTGTTTTAATTGTTTTTCATGTGTCTGTGTGCATCTTTGAGCACGTGTGTGTGCACACGTGCGCACACCCACACACAAAGTCCCTACACAACTGGCGATGTGGCTGTTACTTAGTTGTGAGCTTTAAAAACGGCACCTTCCCAGACTTCTTTTTTCACTCAATTCTCAGATTCTCCTCTCGTTTTATTGCTTTTTCTCTCATGTTTTCAGTCCAAGTTATCCAAAACACTTTAGTGAAGTGGGTATGACGCACATACATAAATTGGGTTCTTGAAGACAGCCTGGGAGCGGAGAGGATTCAGAGACTTGAATTAAAGGGTGGGTGTGTGACTGGTGAAACAGGTGCTGTTTAGGCAAACTAGGCCCCACCACATGAATCAGCTTCCTCTTAGTGTGGGGTCTCAGGTGTCCCTAAACATTTTGTCAGGGTAGAGTTTTCACAGGGTCTTAGGGTCGTAATTCTTGCCAAGACCCCCAGCCAATTCCCACAGGAAAAGTGGGCTGCAGAGGCCTGGATTTGAATGGCATGAATTCCAATGTGAGGTTTTACCTGAGCCCTGTAGTTTCAGGTTTTTCTCTTTTGTTTTTAAATTCATTTTAATCTCACTGTACTTTAAAAGAAATACAAACTCAACAGGAAATAAATGTTCCAGTGGCCAAGGGCTTCTAATTCAGTTTGATTTAGTGATATTTTCACAGAATCAGAACATTGCTTAAATTCCTGCATGTGGCACAACTGGGGGGCTCCACCCTTGGCCTCATCCTCCTCCTCGTAGAACAATTTTATCACAGGCACACGCTCCACTAGATTCAGAGGTGGATCGCAGGGTGCAACACACGCAGCTCTTCAGCTGGGGGGTATAGGTGGCACTCCTGGGGGTGGTGTCTGCGATCTCTGGGGAGCCCCCACTCTGCAGCCAGGTCCTTGTGGAGGCAGATGGCCCTGTCCTAAAAGGGATCCCGGAGGATGAATGCCCCAGGCAGGGCACAGGGTGTCTCAGTGACTGCAGAGGTGTGTGGGTGGGAGGGAAGTGCCAGGACAGGGAAGAAGCAAGGACTGAATGCCACTGGGTGACAAGACAGACTGAATTCTTTCATCATTTGGTTGGTTTTCTGAGCTTTGCTGCTTGGTTTTGCTTGGTTTTCTGAACTTTGCAGCATCCTATCTCCCTGAGTGGCTGGGAACACAGCCAGAGCAGGTGTCCAGGCTGCAGCGTAGGACCTACCAGCACCCTCCTCCCTCCCGGTCTCTGTCCTTGGCCACGGGCAGTCACTTGATGACACTGGGTCACATCCTCCTTTGTATCAGGGCTGAGCTGAAAGGTCAGAGACCGAGGCTGGGGGACTAGAGGATTTGGACACCCAGAAGGGCTGTGTGACTCTCCTGCCTGGCCTTGTGGTTCTTGCTGATGCTTTGTCCCCTCATCCTCCCACTAGCTGGGACCTTCACATTCAAACCCACCTCATCACCTGTCACGAAGCCTGGGTGCCTGTGCCCTTGATGGGCCGCCTCCCCTCCTCCCAGTCCTTGTCTGTGGCACCCTTGATCCAGTGCCCTTGCCCACCCTGCAGGGGGCTGCACCAGCCTCAGGGTGTGCAGCCAGCTCCTGCTTAGGGCAGAGCAGTGCTGGCCCCTGATCCTGTGACCTCAGGCCCTGCTCCTCCAGCCGAGACTACTCTCCTTAAGTCCTGGGCTGTCTGCTCCTCTTGCTGAGCTGCCCAACCCTCAATGCCTACCCCTTCTCAGTGCCTTCCCCTGGGGCCTGTCCAGGGTAGAATTTAGTCAAGCATGAATCGCTCTGACATAGCAGGTTCTCACCGTAGCTTTGTGTGTCCATCTACAGGTGGAGCACGACTTCATCCTGCAGGCCGAGCGGGAGACATTCATCGAGCAGATGAAGGACGTCATGGACAAGGCAGAGGACATGCTCAGCGAGGACACAGATGTTGACCATGGCTCCGACCCGGGCACCAGCCCGCCTCACCTCAGCACCTGTGGCCTGGGCATGGGAGAGGTGAGGTGGGGCAGTCTCACATGGGAGCCAGTGAGAAAGAGTGGGCAGCTGGGTGGCCCGCCGGGTGGGTGGGTGACTTAGTAGTTTAGCAGCCAGGTTGGGTGAGCAGCTTGACAAACGGATGGGTGGGCAATTGGACAGCCGGGCATTTGGGCCACCAGGTGGGTGGACAACCAGGTGGATGAGTGACTGGGTGGGTAGGTAGCTTGGCTGCTGGGCAGGTAGGCAGCCAGGCAGTTGGGCAATCGGGCAGGTGGGTGGCTTGGCAGCTGTGAGGGTGGGTAATCAGGCAGGGGGGTGGCTTGGCAGCTGGGCAGGTGTGTGGCTGGGCAGGAGGATGGGCACTGCACACAGTGGTCTGATTTCCACCCTGTGCCTCTTGCAGGAGAGTCGCCAGTCCCAAGCCAATGCCCCTGTGTACCAGCAGAACGGTGAGTTGTAGCTTCTCCCTTCTGTTTCTTAGCAGGTGTTTTGCAGACGCGCCCTCTCTGCAGAGGGTCAGGGGTCTGGCTGTTGCACTGGAGGTTTGTGAAGACATGTGGTGACCAGGGCCCCCCACATGGAGCAGCTGCCTGGCTGAGAAGCCATCACTCTCTGGCCAGCACCATCACCTTCTCAGATGATGCCACAAGCGTCCCTCCTACTACACCTGAGTCAGAAACTCTTGAGAGTCTCAGGCTGCTGTGAGGCACCTGGGCCACTGCCCACCCCACACTCCAGAGTGAGAGAAGGGCTAGTGAAGGCTCCTCACCTCTGGCCTGGGACTGCCTGTTCTGTGGAGGGAAAACATTTAGGGTTGTGACAGGAAACTGGGTTCCCTGCCACACCCTTTCTGGGGAAAAACCCACAGGTGTGGACAAGTTCTCCAGAGGCCCCTATGACAAGGCCACTGCAGGCGGTGGGAGTCACCCCAGACTGGGGAGAAACTTGCTCACTGAATGTGCTGTTTCTGTTCTGCCCTGCAGTCCTACACACTGGAAAGAGGTGGTTCATCATCTGTCCCGTGGCCGAGCACCCAGCGCCAGAGGCCTCCGAGGCTTCACCCCCACTTCCTCTAGGCTCCCTGCAGCCAGATGCCAGCCAAGGTATGAGCAGACTGAGCCATGCAACCCCCACCACCTCCTGTGAGGCAGTGGGCTCTGCCCATGCATCATATGGCTGTCCCCAAAGCTTAGCAGCCTGCAATATCCTGTCCCTTCCCTATTTTCCACTGAGGCAGCCAGGTCAAGGCAGCACCCAGACTTGAACCTGCCCTGTTACCTCTGCAATGCAGGTAACACATGGCAGCCAGATGTGTGCTGAAGAGCTCTGCTGCCCTTCCCTCGGTGTCATCTGGGGATGCCTGACCCCTCCCCCTCCCCTCTGCACAGTACACCTGCAGTAGACACACCCCTGCTGGTGGTTCTGCTTTCCCTGGGAAGGGCCCTCTGAGCTCTGAGATTCTGGCTTTAAGTTGTCTACATAGACCCTGATCACAGCATTTGAAACTACACCTGCCATGTGGATGCCAGACAGCTTGCACTTTGGGCTGGCAGTTAAATCTCAACTTTATGATCCTTTGGGAGGCTGAAAATAGTGACTTGAACACATTTAAGGTTTAACTTCCTATCAGTTGGCAGGGGAAAGCTATTGATTAAGTAACTTTACCCCATATCTGATATATTCATGAAAAATATCTGTAAATCAATTTTAATTTCATATCATGTGCTTCCATTCACTTCTATCTTTTGGAGATTTGTTCCCATGAGGAAAAAGTCAAACTAATAATAAAATCCCAATGGAACTTTATTATGAAAAACTGAATTTTAAAATAAGAATATGTTTATGTGCTACTTCTGGATTAATACACACACACCCAGTTATAGGAACTCTCCTAGAAATAAAGTCAATTTTTAGTGTGAAGTGAGGGTTAAGGGGACAGTGTGATGCAGGGTTAAAGGAATGGAGGTAAACCTTCTCTCCTTCATCTATGCACTGAGTGACACCAGGAGACGTTTTAGAGCCAGTTTATTTTTTTTATTAAAGAAAAAAAGGAACAATTGGCAGCTCTATCAATTTGGATTAATCACCCACTGAAGATGACCAAAGAAGTTGGACAAATTATGACAGTCATCTGTGTGAAGGCATGTGAAATCTGAACATAGCAGAGAATAATCAGGCTGGGGTCCTGGATGGAGACAGGAATGTGAACCCAGTTTGTATTCCTTTTCCCCTGGGGTCCCTGAGGGGTTCTGCCGAAGTGTTGCCCTGGAGGAGGAATGGTCAACTGGAAGGTGACAGGCCTTTAGAGAGAGGAGCTCACCTCAGGCATCCCAACCCTCCTTTAGAGTAATCTCTAGTGCTGTATGCTCGGACAGGTGTACAGAAATCCTTTCTGCAGGAAGGAGTATCACTGTGGGCCTCATGTGATTTGTACAATTTTGTGAACAAAATTTGGGGCACATAACACAAAATAACTAAGCAAGAGGTAGGTTCTGAATAAGATAGGCTAAGCACACACACCAACTTTTCTTTCCACTGGGCTCCTCTGAATCCTAGACAGACATGTGACAAAGCTGTCTGAGTACTCTGGAAAATGCTACCAGCAGGAAGATTGGAGAAAAATTCAGAGTGCCACTGAGTTGGTGATGAGTTTAGCATGTTTATCTCTAGTTTCTCCAGTCCGCACTCAGTGCAACCTGAGGACCAGAAGCGAGCACTGGGGTTCAGGCAAGGAGAGCTCCTGGTGATATCTAGTTTCAGCTCCCAGACCAGGAAAGGGAACTTCTAAAGCTCAGAGAGGAGGGGAAACCCCTCCATATTTTTCCCCTTACTCTTGCACCAGCGCCAAGACAATTCTGCAGGGCAGCAACAGATAATAGGAGCATGCAGGAGCCAAAATAGTGAGAGAGAATTTTTCTTTATGCTGAGGCAATCCGAGCTATAGGAGCACAGAACCAAAACCTACCACTTTTTTTTTTTAATCTGCCCTCCTGCTACCTGGCCTTCATGACACAATCACAAAATTGGGTGGTTTCTAATCAGAGGTTTGGAAAGGTGAGTCCCAGGAAACCAGGAAATACCAGGGAGAACACAGAAAGGGAGGAACTTGGAAGAGTAACCCTATAAAGTTGTTTATGTACTCTTGGACTCACCTCCAACCTCTGCACACATGGAACCTCGGGGCCAGCTCGGTGGCTCAGCCTGTAATCCCGCACTTTGGGAGGTTGGGGTGAGTGGATTGCCTGAGCCCGTGGGTTCAAGACCCACCTGGGCAACTTGGCGAGACCTCATCTCTACAATAAATCAAAAAATTAGCCGGACGTGGTAGCACACGCCTGTATTTCTAGCTCCTTGGAAGGCTGAGGTGGAAGGATCGCCGGAGCCCAGCTAGTCGAGGCTGCAGTGGCCGGGAGTGTGCCACTGCACTCCAGTCTGGGCGACAGAGTGAGACTCCAACTCGGAAAAAAAGAAAAAGAAAAAGAAAAACCTTGGGAACTGAGCTAATGGGTAGACACCCCCACCCTAGATTCCAGAGTGGCCCCTAAGCAACACACACCTGATTCAGAGCAGACTAGTGCTGCCAAGGCACTGGAAATTCAACAGATGTGTAACCATAGCCCATAGAAGACAAATTATAACTTGCAGTGTGAACCTAACCAGGTTGATTGTACTAAAACAAAAATATCAACATTCACTATAGGATGTAAATAAGACTCAGCATTTTATAACGTCATTCAAATGTTCAGAATAGAATCCAAAATTATTTGGCAAATGAAAAATGTTAACTTGCATAAAAAAAGAAAACCAACACATGCCAGTGGCCAGATAACATAGATGTTGGGATGATCTGTAAAAACCTTAAGTTACAAATATGCCTGTGTAAGCAATTGCGAACATTGTTGAGGCAAATGTTAAGGTAGAAAGTAGCCACAAAGAAATAGAAGATACAAAGAAGAAACAAATGGAAATTTCAATCCTGGACATTAAAATACATACAATTGTCCAACTGGAAGACAGAGAAAAAAATGAATAAGGCCTCAAGCAACTGTGAAGCAATTAACAAAGGCTCTAAATATTGTGTCATTAGAGTCCCAAAAGAAGAAAAGAAAGAGTGCAGTGCTGAAAAATTATTCAAACAAATTCATTTCTGGATACATCATAATCAAATCTGCTGAAAATGGAAAACAGAGAAAATTGATAAAGCACCCAGAATAAATGATAAATTAAGGGACAGTGATTCAGATGTCTGTAAGGTTTCTCAACAAAAAGCATGGTGAGCAGAAGGAAGGAGACAGGAAGGAGTGCAGCATTTAAAAAGTGTTGAAAGAAAAGAACTGTCAACCCAGAATTATGTTTTCATGGCAAATGACCTTCTGGAATGAAACTGAAGTAAAGCCATTTTCAAATAAATAAAACTAAGAGAATTTGTACACTACACCTGCTCTAAAAAAATTGATAAGACCTTCAGACAGAAGGGAAGTGACACTAAAGAGAACTTGGAGCATTGAGGTTGAAGGAAGAACAGCAGAAATTATAAATATCTGAGTAAATATGATAGACTATTATGCCCCTCTTGAGTTCTTTAAAACATGTCTGACAGCTGAAGTTTAAAAAATTATAACATTGTCTGATGGGGCTTTCAATGTATATAGATGTAATACATCTATATTTGATATGGAGGGTAACATATGTTTCTGTGTTTCAGTTGAATTGATACAATACTGGTTCTAAATAAACTGTGGAAAGTTAAGTATGTGTTTTGGAATTCCTAGAGCAGCCATTTAAAGAATTGTAAAAGAAATAGAGTCAAAATCATAACAGATTATTTAAGATGAAGTTAAAAATGCACTCCAGTCTGGGTGACAGAGTGAGACTCCAACTCAAAAAAAAAAAAAAAAAAAAAATTTAGAGCAACCCCAAAGAAGTCAAGAAATGGGGAAACAAAATATTTTTTAAAATACTGAGGGATAAAATAAAACAGAAAATCAATAAAATGGTAGACCTTAAAAGCATACCAATAATTAATTTAAAGGTAAACAGTTCTTAACACATCAATTAAAAGACACAGATTATGAGAATGGATAAATGTTTTAAAACCCACAACTTGACCTGGGTTTGTGATATCTATTAGAATGTCAAATATAATTATATAGGAAAGTTAAAAGAAAAAGGATGGCAAAGCAGAGACCATGCAAACACAAATCAAAAGAATGCTGGTGTGGCTGTTTTAATTTCAGACAAAATAGACTTTAGAGCACAGAAAATTACCAGATTAAAAAGTGACATTACATATTCATAAAAAGGGTCAATTCATCAGAAAAACATAACAGCTCAAAATGTGTATACACCTAACAATAGAGCTTCAAAACTAACAGACTGGAAAGCAGGTATAGACAAATCTACACTATAGTTGGGGACTTCAACATTTCTCAATAATAGGTAAAATTAGCAGACAGAAAATTAACATGAATATAGAAGATCTAAACAATACTATCAACCAACTTGGCCTAATTGACATTTATAGAACATTCCTCTCAACCTCAGACTACACATTCTTTTCAAGCACTTATGATACAATTACCATATCATGAGTTATAAAACAAAACAAATGTAAAAGAATTGAAATCATACCAAATGTTTTCTTTGATACAATGCAATTTAAATTTTTTTTTGAGTTGGAGTCTCACTCTGTCGCCCAGACTGGAGTGCAGTGGCCGCTCCCACCCACCGCAGCCTCGACCTGCTGGGCTCCGGTGATCCTTCCGCCTCAGCCTTCCAAGTAGCTGGAACTACAGGCGTGCACTACCACACCCGGCTGATTTTTTTTTTTTTTTTTGGATTTATTGTAGAGATGAGGTCTCACCAAGTTGCCCAGGCGGGTCTCGAACCCGCGGGTTCAGGCAATCCACTCACCTCAGCCTCCCAAGCTGCGGGATTACAGGCTGAGCCACCAAGCCCAGCTGTAATTTAAAATTAAATGACACTTCTAAATAATCTGTAAGTGAAAGAAAAAGTCTGAAGGAAAATTAGAAAACATTTAAAAATGAGCAAGAGTAGAAGCAACCCCTTCGGATCCCCTCCCACTGTGGGAGCTTTTCTTTCA